AGCCCAGGCTGGCCTCGAACTCACAGAGATCCACCTGGCTCTGCCTCCCGAGTGCTGGGATTAAAGGCGTGCGCCACCACCGCCCGGCTCTTATTTGTTTTAAAATAGGTTCCACAGATATATACTAATTTCCCTCTTTGGTTGGTCTCTCTCTGTGTCACTGTGTTTGTCTCTCTTTCTTTCTTCCTCTTTTAAAACATAACCAAGATAGAGGTTTAATCTAGATTCAACTTCAGGGAAAGGAGCAGCAGAGGCCCTGATACCACTTACTTAGCATTTTATAGCTTCTTTTATTATTGTCTATTTAGACAAAAATCTCGGCGGTTATAGATAATAAGCCATTCCTCTTGGTTTATTCTAGTGACAATATAATACTATCATGATTGCAGAAATAACATTCCCATTTTCCCTTTGACCCCAAATACTTTTTTCCTTTTTAATGCAGTTTTTAGTTACACTTACTAACACATGCTAATTTTAGATTCTATCACTGAAAACCTCAGTTTGCCATTTATTGAGGCATTAGTTGAAATATTAATGTATTTAGCGCAGAAATGTCATTTTTTAGGGAACCTAGAACAACAGCAAAGCTGAGGTCAAACTGCAATCACGATGGACATCAAGGAAGCTGTGTTTGGGACAAAAAGAAATCAAGATAAGGTAGATGCAAAGTAGAGAAAAGAGCTGGACATGGGGTCTGGGTGGTAGATAGGAATGGGTTATATGCCACCAATGATATTGCCAGCTAGCATTGTGAAGAGGAAATACTGAGAAATGGGTTTAAATAGTCCTTTCCCTCTGAATGTACAAATTTTAACTGATTTTCAGGTAGCAGAGTACTTAAAATTGTCATGTTTGGGACAGCAGAGTAGAAGAATGCTTGCCTAGAATTTATGAGGCTCTGTGTTCAATTCCCAGAACTTAAAAAAAAAAAATGAGGTTGTTTTGGTGGAGTAGTGGTTTCTCATATTCTAGATAGTGTTTTCTTTATGGGTGGCTGTGGAAGATGATAATGCTGTTAGTTGCTAAAAACCAGTGCCAGAATCCAGCTTCAGCACAAATGCTTGGTAACTACCCAGAAGTTGAAAGTAGTTGAAATCTCCATTTGGAGTGTTACATTGACAGTCGGTGCAGAATATGACATTTTTATTTTTGTGATGTAAAAATTGTACTTCTTCTCATAGCAACATGAACCGTGAAGACCGGAATGTGCTGCGCATGAAAGAACGGGAAAGGCGGAATCAGGAAATTCAGCAGGGTGAAGACGCCTTCCCACCTAGCTCTCCTCTGTTTGCTGAGCCATATAAAGTTGTAAGTTATCTTTCTTGGACTGTTTTTTCACCTCACTTACATGACATTTGTGCTTTTAGCGATTGTCTTTTTTTAAAGATTTGATTTTGTAGGTACTTTTATGATTCTCACACTGTCAGGTCTTTACAGAGGCCAGAAGATGATGTCCGGTGCCCTGCAGCTGGAGTTACAGGCAGCTTTGAGCCATCCGACATGGGGGCTGGGAACCAAACTCAGGTCTTCTGGAAGAGCAGTACATGCATGCTTTTAACCACTGAGCCACTCCTTTAGCTCAGTGCATGCCTTTCATTGAAGCATTCTGGGAGGCGGAAGCAGGCTCTGAGTTCAAGGCTAGGCAGGACTACATCCCTGTCTCAAAAGAATATTTTTTGGTCAGTGAGTCTACATTACCTACTGTTTGCTAGGTAGTCTGTATTCTTTGGTAATAACATCGGTTAAAAATGACTTTCACAGATGCTGTGTTTTTCCATTTCTTGCCATTTGTTTATTTAATAAGTTTTATTGACTATTAGTTTGTTGACTGTTTCTTATGTGTGTTTGTCTCTTTCTGTTATCATAGATTAAATTCTGACATTTCTTCCAATGTATTTAATCATTGTCAGTTACATTGGAGCACGTTGTTGGAGGCATTCAGTAAATTGAATAAATGGTTGAAGAGAGGGCTCAGCAGTTAAGAGCATTTGTTGCTCTTGTAGGAGACCAGGTTCAATTACCAGTACCCACATGAGGTTCATAACCATGTGTAACTCCAGTTTCAGGGCACCTTACCCTCTTACGACCTCTGCAGACAGCAGGCACACATGTGGTTACACACACATACATATAGACAAAACACTTTCACATAAAATGAGTAAATGAATGATTTTTTAAAATGTTTTTTGAGGCAATGTCTCTTTACATACCTCTGGCTGTCCTAGAACTCACTCTGTAGACCAGGCTGCCCTCAAACTCACAGAGAGCTACCTGCCTCTGCTTCCTGAGTGCTAAGATTAAAGGCATGTTGCCACCATGTCCCATCATAAATGAAGAAATCTTTAAAAAAATTAAGAGAAAATAAATTGAATCAATTACTATTTTAATTTTTTAAAATTGTTTATTTTGTTTTTATTTTATGTGTATGAATGTTTAAACTGCCAGTATGTCTGTGTGTCTGTGTATTATATGTGTGTAGTGTTGGAAGAAGCCAGAAGAGGGCATCAGATCCTCTGGTCCTAGAGTTACAGACAGTTGTAAACCACTGTATGGGTGCTGGGAATTGAACTCTGGTCCTTTGGAAGAGAAGCCAAGTGCCTTTAATCCCTGAGTCACTTTCCAAACCCAATTGCTATTTTTTAATTACTAGCATTGTTCCTGATTTGATATTACCAAAAAAAAAAAAAAAAAAAAGAATACTGAATAATGGCAATTCTCATGGCTCTAAGGTAGCTTTTGTGATGACATGTCTTTCTAGCATTTCTTTTGCCTTTGGGTTTCAATGGTTGTTAAAACTTTAAAGTTCAGAATCTGTGAATCATGCTAATATTCATTACACAATAAAAAAATATTGAATCGGACTTGTTTTCTGATGTTGATGTTTTCTGTGAACAGCCGTATATTTATCTTGATTCTTTAAGAAGATCAGACAGATTTTGAAACAATATAAAGTTATTATTAATGTTTCCCAATCTCAAAATAAATAGTGGTAGTTCAGATTTTGTTTGTTTGTTTTCCTTTTTATTTATTTACTTTTTTTTATTGATTCTTTGGGAACTTCTTTTTTTAAGATAATGTCTCAAGTTTTCCAGGCCTAAAACTGACTATGTGTCCAAGCATGACCTTGAACTTGTGACCCTTCCTAATGCTGGGAATATGTCACCAAGTCAGTTTATGTGTTGCTAGGGATTGAATACAGGGCTTCATGCATGCCATCCAAGCACTCTACCTACCATCTGAGCTGCATTCCAGCCCTGGTTATTTAGTCTTGATTTCTTTTTAATGTAATCTGTAGACTTTCTTTTGTATTTTAGCATGGTTATTTTCATGTACTTTCTTTGCATTTTTTTCTTCAGATACTTTCAATAAATTTTTTTCACTATGAGAAATATTTATCTGGACTGAGAGTGTGTGGTAGAGTCAGTGGTAGAGTGCTCACCTAGCATGTGAGAGGGTCTAGTTTTAATTTATTTTATCTTCGTTTGTTTTGTGCTATATTTGGTGTTTATTTGTAAATGTTAACTTTAAGATAAAAAGTGAGACCTGTCTTTACTGACCTCTTCTGACTGAGGGTTATAAAATGAGTTTGGAAGAATATTTTGTTTCAAATTATACTAACAGTATATTCTTTTATTTATTTATTTTTTTTGTAGACTAGCAAAGAAGATAAGTTATCAAGTCGTATTCAGAGTATGCTTGGAAACTACGATGAAATGAAGGATTACATAGGAGACAGATCTATACCAAAGCTTGTTGCAATTCCCAAGCCTGCAGTACCAACGACAACAGACGAGAAAGCAAACCCAAATTTTTTTGAACAGAGACATGGAGGCTCTCATCAGAGTAACAAATGGACTCCTGTAGGACCTGCCCCCAGCACTTCTCAGTCTCAGAAACGGTCCTCTGGCTTGCAGAGTGGACACAGTAGCCAGCGGACCAGTGCAGGTGGTAGTGGCACTAGTAGCAGTGGCCAGAGACATGACCGCGACTCCTACAGCAGTAGCCGGAAAAAAGGCCAGCATGGGTCAGAGCACTCCAAATCACGATCCTCAAGCCCTGGAAAACCCCAGGCTGTTTCTTCATTAAGTTCTAGTCATTCCAGGTCTCATGGGAATGATCACCATAGCAAGGAACATCAGCGCTCCAAATCACCTCGGGACCCTGATGCCAATTGGGATTCTCCTTCCCGTGTCCCCTTTTCAAGTGGGCAGCATTCAAATCAGTCTTTCCCACCTTCTTTGATGTCAAAATCTAGTTCAATGTTACAAAAACCCACTGCCTATGTTCGGCCCATGGATGGACAGGAGTCTGTGGAACCAAAGCTGTCCTCTGAGCACTACAGCAGCCAGTCTCATGGTAATAATATGACTGAGCTGAAGCCCAGCAGCAAAGCACATCTCACCAAGCTGAAAATACCTTCTCGACCTTTGGATGTAAGTCTCACACTCAGAGTATTTAGCATTGTGACTGTATAAAGTAATTTGTAGACATTTCAGTGAATTGGAACTGTCTTTTTGCCTTAATAGTAAGACATAAAAATTAAGAAGTTTAAGAAAAAATGGTTTAAAGAACAACTCGGGAATTGACTCCCAAGTAGATATAAAACTGTGCACTTCCTTCTTGGATAATACAGAAAATATCATTCATAGGTTTTCAAATATTAAAAATGACTAGTCAGGGGCTGGAGAGATGGCTCAGTGGTTAAGAGCACTGACTGCTCTTCCAGAAGACCTGGGTTCAATACCCAGCACCCACATGGCAGTTGGCAACTGTCTGTAACTCCAAGGTCTGACACTCTCAAACAGACATACATATAGGCAAAATAACAATGCACATAAAATAAAAATAAATAAATTATATTTAAAAAAAATAAAATAAAATGACAAGTCAAGTTATAGACTAAACATAAAATTTATTGATAGCTTACACTCCTCTTTTTGGTTTTAAGGGATAGTGTAGTTTGTTTCTTTTTATTTAAAGAGAAAATTAACTTGTCTGTTTTTAGAGTGTTACAAGTAATGCAGGTCATGGTTTATGGGGATAAATGGTGGGACTTTTGAGTCTACAGAAGTGATAATGTTGTATAGTTCCGATGCCTCCTCCTTCCTTTGCTCCCAGCTGAAGGGCTGAGACAGCCACTGTGACTGTGTACAAAAACTGACATTCAAAATGACCAAAAGAACAAAGCATTCAGAGTGAAATAGCTGAAAGTGTATCTTCATTTACTGAAGTGTAGAATAACAGGTTTCAGCAAAACATTGTCATATAGGCAAGATTTATTTTATTATTTTATGTTTATGAGTGTCTCACCTGCATGTATATCTTATATATATATGTATGCCTGGTGTCCATAGAGGAAGGAAGAGGGCCTCAGATCCCCTGGAGCTGGAGTTACGGATGTTGTGAGCTGCCATGTAATTACTTGGCATCAAACCTGGGTCCTTTGGAAGAACAGCCAATACTCTTAACCACTGAGACATTTCCTCAGTTTGCAGGGTTTATCTTTTAATGTAGTTTATACAATAAAAAAGGTTAAAAAGACAAAATGCATAGCTCAGAGCTCAGAATATAAGAAGGAATCAAAGTCAAAGAAGATGTTTAAGAACATTTAGCAATCTTGAAGCAGTAAGGTAGTTCAGTGGCTAAAGTATAAACCTGCTGACTTGAGTTCAGTCCTGGATCCCATAGTGGAAGGAGACAACCAGCTCCTAAGAGTTGTTCTCTCACCTACTCTTTCTCACATGCCCCGCCCATAACATAAACACACAATAATAATAAAATGAAATAAAAAGAATCTTGGGGCCTGAGGAGATTGATCAGTGGTTCAGAGCACTTGCTGCTCTTACAGAGGACCTGAGTTGCTTCCCAGCATTCAGAAAAGTGGTAATTTGTTCTTTAAATACATCTTTGGAACTAGATTTGGGTTTGGTTTTTTGATTCTTAATTATGTCTTAAAATTACCAGTCTGCCTTCTATAGTTTATACAATGCCGTGTAAAATGTCCATTGTGGTCTGTATCTCCAGTCTTTCAATAATGCTCACTTTACTCAGTTTATGTCTCAGTGTCATGTTATATTTTTGTATATGAATAATTTTTGAAATTTTTAGGAAATTTGATCATCTAAAAAAATTACATCAAAAAATTGTAGGGGCTAGAGAGATGGTTCAAGGGCCAAGAGCACTGGCTGTCCTTCCAGAAGATCTGGGTTCAATTCTCAGCACCCATATGGTGGCTCACAGCTGTCTCTAACTCTAGTTCCAAGGGATCAGAATTCCCTCTTCTGGCTTCTATAGGTACTAGGCACTAAAGCAGTTCACAGACCTAGGTGTGAGCAAAGCAACTATATACATAAAATAAAAACAAATAAATCTGGGATCTTAGAAAGAGGACTCAGTGATTAAGAGCACTGGCTTTTCTTCTAGAGGGAAAGGACCCAGGTTCTATTTTCCTGCGTCCACACAACAGTTCACAACTGTCTATAACTCCAGTTCCAGGAACCTAGTACCCTCCTTTGACCTTTGCAGGACCAGGCAAGCATTAGCATATATTCAGGCAAAACAGTTAATATACATAAAATAAAAATAAATCTTTTTTTAAAGGTTTTTATTTTATTTTATTTTACAATACCATTCAGTTCTACATATCAGCCACGGGTTCCCCTATTCTCCCCGCTCCCACACCTTCCCCTTACCCCCAGCCTATACCCCATTCCCACCTCCTCCAGGGCAAATCCTCCCACGAGGACTGAGATCAACCTGGTAGACTCAGTCCAGGCAGGTCCAGTCCCTTCCTCCCAGACTGAGCCAAGTTTCCCTGCATAAGCTCCATTTGTTTCAAACAGCCAACTCATGAAATGAGCACAGGACTTGGTCCCACTGCCTAGTTGCCTCCCAAACTGATCAAGCCAATCAACTGTCTCACCTATTCAGAGGGCCTGATCCAGCTGGGGGCCCCTCAGCCTTTGGTTCATAGTTCATGTGTTTCCATTCATTTGGCTTAAATAAATCTTTTTAGAAATTTTGTATAGGAAAGCTATTTCAAAAGGTCTAGCTAATGTTGTGACTTAAAATAATGGAATCATAAATACTTCCTCAAATTTTATGTAATTTCTAATAATGTTTTTAATATGTTTAGGAAATACTAAAATTCTAGCAGCAAATTACATCAAATCTAATGCCTGTTTCTTTTTTCTTTCTCTTTTTTTTTTAAGGCATCAGTTTCTGGTGATGTAAGCTGTGTGGATGAAATACTTAAAGTAAGCTTCTTTTTAATCATTCTGATCTGTTATTTAATTCTGATGCCTATATTACCAACTCTTTCATATTCTTAATTACTTCTTAACACAGATTGCTTATGTGTATAACTTGATTATGTCATGTCCATCATAAATAACTTTTCTGAGGTTCTAGTCACATGCTTTGTTTACTGTTTATAAGTACAATATATTCTAGTTTTAGCCTTGAAAAGGGGAAGAAGCCAATTACAACTGCATTTTCTTAGGCTTATGATTTAAAGGCTTAAAAAAAAATCTCAATACTTACCAAGCCATGTTGACAGTAGTTTGGTTTATAATTTACCTGTACATTCTATTCTGATCAGGTACTATAGTAAAAACTATCCTCTGAGTATTGATCTGGAGTGTTTATCAGACACACTTGAAAGTCTACCATGACTAAAAACAGTATATTCCTCTGCTGGAAATAAGGAAAGGGCCAGTTAATGAGTGAGCAACAAGGATTGCTTTTTGCTTCTAAGAGAACAACATCAGTCACATATGACTTTTTCTTTGGAAGCTACTGAATTCTTTGTCTATACTTGGATTTTATGGCATATTCTTCTCAGCTACCTGTTTTGGCCTATTTCCTATAATCTGTTCCCACCATTTAATCTCACATTCTTTCCTTTAGCTGCTACAATCTTCCTTTACCATTTTACTGAACCTTCTTTTCTTTTCTTTCTTTTTTTTTCTCGAGACAGGTTTTCTCTGTGTAGTTTTGGAACCTGTCCTGGAACTCACTCTGTAGACCAGGCTGGCCTCGAACTCAGTGATCCACCTGGCTCTGCCTCCCCAGTGCTAGGATTAAAGCTGCACCACCACATCCAGCTCATACAGAAATAGTAGCAGTAGTGGTAGTAGTAATAATAATAAACCTTAAGACAGTCTTAATTTTTGTTTCTGCCTTTAAAATCTCTTAGCTGTCCTTTTATAGTGTGTCAAGTCTTCACTTCAGCCTCTGGCCTTCATGACTTCACTGCTTTTGCTAGAAGTTTTCAGTGGCTCTCTAAGAGAGATTAAGATCACTAAAACCACAGTTCTGAGGAAGAATTGAGCATCCAGACACCCCATAGCCAGTCCCCAGAACTCCTGCTTCTGACTGACCACTTTTGCCAAACTAGTTTTCCTAAGCCATACTTTTTCTTTTCTTGAAAATAGGGTTTCCTGTAGTGGAGGCTGGCTTCGAACATCTGTCCTCCTTCCTGCCTCACCTTCCAAGCACTCTCATCACTTCCTTAAAGTCAAATTCTTTGGAACACTTCCCTCCTCTGTCTATAATAGTGCATACATAGTTGTCTTCTGTAGAATCCCAGGGAAATAAATTTTTCTGTTTCCTTTGTCAGGACACAGTGAAAACTCTTCACTTTCAATCTCATAAAGCATTCATTCTCTCTCTCTCTCTCTCTCTCTCTCTCTCTCTCTCTCTCTCTCACACACACACACACACACACACACACATTTATTTAATGAGTGTCTTGTCTTGCCTGCATGTATGTGTACTGTGTGTGTGTGTGCATTGCCCAAAGAGGTCAGAAGGGGCTGTTAGATCTCCTGGAATTGGAGTTACAGAGATTTGAACCGATGTACTTGGGAAGAGCAGCCAGTGTTTTTAACCACTGAGCCATCTCTTCAGCCCCAATCTTTCATATTTTTGACACACATACACACACGCACGCGCGCGCACACACACACACACACACACACACACACACACACACACACGAGAACCTTGAGCATATGAAATGCTTGTGTGTTTGTGTGTGTGTTGTTTTTGTTTGGGGATTTTGTTTTGTTTTTTCATGTGTTTCTCTCTGTGTGTTTGTATGTTCTAAGGGAACATACACACTTCCCCCTGAAGTTTTAACAATATATGGAACTTAAGTGCCTGGAAGACTTTCTTTGTCTCTTTGTTTTTATTAAACATGTAGCCTACATTTTCTATGTATGAACTTGGCATGTGGCTTTCAGTGTTTTATTGCCCAGTCAGGTTGATTGTTGGAAAGATTAGCAGTTGAATATATTTTGGCATTTGATTTGTGAAATGCATTACTGAAAATCTGAGGTGCAGAAGTTTCCATGTTCCCTTCATAGGTTTTTGTTTTCATTCAACTTGTAATCACAGTTTCTAGGAACTCTTTTGTGAACATAGGAAAATAATATAAAATATTAAAAATATTTAATACCTGTCAAAAACTTGATATCTGTCTAAAAATAATATATGTTTATTGAAAAATTTCAATTGTCAGTGATTCACCTATGTGTCAAGTGCTAGTGATGTGGTGGTGATGCTAGTTGTACTGTTTAAGCTGACCTTCCAGGGCTGGTTGTAGGAAACAATACAAGTATTGTAAGAGGACAGAGAGCAATTACATGCACGTGGCTAGTTTTTTTTGGGGGGAGGGGGTCCTCATTTTTTACTAGTTCTTTGAGAATTTCATATAATGCATTTGATCATACTCATCCCACAACTCCTTGAAGTTCCACTACCCCTTCCCTACCCACCTAACTTTTTGTGCTTTTTCTTTTCTTTTCTTTTCTTTTTTTTCCAGGACTGAGGCCTGAACCCAGGGCCTTGTGCTTGCTAGGCAAGCACTCTACTACTGACCTAAATCCCCAACCCCTATATTTTTTCTTTTTCCCAGCAAGTCCACCTTGTGCTGCCCATATAATCTTGAACATGTGACCATCTGCCAGAGTTTGGCTGACCTACCAAGGACCACCACCCTAAAGAAAACTGACTCACTCTTCCAGCAGCTAGCTTTCAGTTGTCAATAGCTCTTCAACTAGGGCGGGACTTTAGGCTCACCTCCTTCTCTGCCCTATGCAAGTGGCTGCTTAAAGAGGTTTAGTAGACACAATGTCAACTGCCCTGTTTCTTCCCCTCTGTCATCTGGTGCCCAAAGTAACTACTGTTGAGCATCCTTCTAGAGGCTTGACTTTTAAAACTTTATTTACTAGCACATAGACTATGTTTGTGTTTGACAGTAATATGCCATGGACCTCATTTCATATCATAGTTGGATTTCTCATTTTAATGTCTGTCTTGTGTTTCATTGTGTGGATGTCTGCTAATTTGTTTAATCAGTACTATATGTTGAATACTAGAGTTGTTAACATTTGGTCTATGAGTCCTTGGAATCTTTATATAATCTAATGCATCTTTATATAACTGTGGTTATAGTCACAGTATAAATTCCTAAGCACCACCAGCTACCTTTTTACCTAATGGCTAAGTTTGAAAAAAAAAAAAAAAAGCAGGAAATAAAATACTCCCTTAATTCTAAGTATTGATACCTCTCTTCCTTGATCCTCTGACATACATTGTTATCCAAATTCACTTGGCCTGGTTTCTTTCCCCTCTTATACAGGGTGTCACATAGCTCAGGCTGCCTTGACTCCTCCTCTCAAGAGCTGAGATTAGAGGCATATATAACCATGCCCAGCTATTCTGATCAAAGTGACCAAAATTTTTAGTTAGCATGTGGACTCTGTGGTCAGACTTCCTACAGTGAAATTCTTTGTCCAGTATTTACTAATCATGCAACCTTGAATAAAGATGTTGACTTTTGCTTCAGTTTCACCTTAAATAAGTTAAGGTAATAATATCTATCTCATGATTTGAAGAAATGATTGACAAGCAAAACATTTAGCATCATTTCTGATCCATTAATGGTAAAGATTAATGTTAGCTGTTTTTCTTATTGTTATCTTCTTCCTTCCATTCCTATAGCAAGATCTTTTTTAGCAGTATTGCATAATACGTGTTTGGGAGGCATGGTGGCTCATGCCTCTACTTTAGAACTCAGGAGGCAGAGGCAGGAGGATCAGCACAAATTTAAGGCCTGTCTGATTTACATAACAAGCTAAGGGAGCCTGGGCTATGTAATGAGACCCTGTTTCAAAAAACAAGCAAACAAAGCCATCAGACCTTCATAACTGTCCACAGATTTTATCATCCTACCCATATACCCCTTAAAGTCCGAGAGAATTTGTTATCCTCTGCCCCGCTGCCAGCCCTACTGCCTGCACACAGTTGTGCCTTATTAATGCCCATTGTACCCAATATGCATAGTTTTGGAGGACAGTCATAAAACCAGTATTTCTAAATACAAAGCTGGTTTTTAGCTGTATAGTTTTGTAACCTTGTCCTGGTTGAAAACAAACTGTAATAATTACATTTCAGGAGATGACGCATTCATGGCCTCCCCCTCTAACGGCTATTCATACACCATGCAAAACAGAACCTTCCAAATTTCCTTTTCCAACTAAGGTAAGTAAATAAAATCTGTCTTTGATAATGTAAGAAAACTCTAAATGGCTCAACTAAAATCACATAAATTCAAATTGTCTTACCTTTCCCTAGTGGGAAACATAATAAATAAACTTTAAAAAAATAAATAATTTTAAGTAGTAATGATTTCTATGAAGAAATTTTAAACTAATAATAGAATTGAGAACATCTTGAACTGAGAGGTACTTAAAATTTGGAAGACAATACAGAGAGAGAGAAAGGGGGAGAGAGAGAGAGAGAGAGAGAGAGAGAGAGAGAGAGAGAGAGAGAGAGAGAGATATTGATTGATATTTATTGCAAACTCATTATATTCTATTCTGAAGGTGGTTAGGGCTATTCAGGTTGTTTTCTGAGGAGCCTCTCAGAACCTAGCCACAAACTTATTTACATACTATGAGAAAAGGCCCTCACACAGCAGTTTTTAGCCCATCTGCAGATTAATTTTTTTAAACATGAATTTATACTCACACAAATAATACAAAAGCACAAGGCTGGATGTGGAACCCCAGTACCATGGAAGCAAAGACAGGAAGATTAGGAGTTTAAGGCCAACCTGGTTACATTTTCAGAGTTCAAAAATTCTCCCGCAAATAATCAGACAAAAAGACATTCTCAGCCCTTCCCTGGTTCTTGTTCTCTAGCTCATCCAATTTCATGTGTCTTTGCAAACCTTTTCATAAGCACTTGCATGCATGTGTACAAACAAACTCATAAGTGTGGACCCATTCCATATCAATATGCTATTTCTACTCAGATAAATTGTTTTATATCATTAATCTGTCAGCTTATAGTCTGGGAGTCCTTTCCATGTTGTTTACTTAGAGGTATTTAATGTCTTCTAAGTTCATCTAAAGTATGAATTATCTGACTTTACTTAGCCATTTCTCTTTGGTGTTTAATTTACTATCAGTTTTAATTACTGTGAGCATTTTTAATCATTTATTTGTGTGTGTGTGTGTGTGTGTGTGTGTGTGTGTGTGTGTGCGCGCGCGCGCTCTGTGAACTGATTCCTTCCTTCTACCATGTAGGTCCCAGGGATGGAGCTCAGATTGTCAGGCTGGCAGCAAGTACCTTTATTCACCCAGCCATTTCACCAGCTCTCACTTTTTTTTTTTATTGTGTGTGTGTTTTGAGCATGTGTATACATTTGTGTGTGTGTGTGGGGGGGTGCACATCTTGTGCACTTGGGTGTGGAAGCTGGGGTCTGCATCAATGTCTTCTTCTATTGTATTCTACTTTATGTTTCTTACTTTTGAGACAGTGTTTCATGTAGCCCAGACTGACCCTGAACTTGGTGTAGCTTATAGTGATCTTAAACTTCTTTTGTATGTATGCTTGTGTGTGTACACATGTATGTGCAGGTATGTACACCCATTCATGTGTGTAGAGGCTAGAGAGAGAAAATTGATGTCCTCCTCCTATTCCTATATGGCTCTCTGCCTTACTCCCTGGACACAGGCTCTCTCTGAATCTAGAGCTCACTGTTTTTCTGTTAGGCTAGTGGGCAGCAAGCCCCAGTTATTTTACTGTTGTCATTACAGCCATCCTCACGCGTGCGTGCGTGCGTGCGTGCGTGCGTGCGTGCGTGCGTGCGTGCGTGCGCGTGTGTGTGTGTGTGTGTGTGTGTGTGTGTGTGTTGAGATAGAACCCAGGCCTGTGAAAAAAAGCTGTCTTCCCTGTTCTTGAGTATATCAGTAGCTTTTTTTCCTAGTAAGCTTTTAATGAAAATACCAAAATTTCTTTACCTGTTCAGTTGTTAATGAACCTATAAGTTACTTTTAGGTTGTTAAAGTATCTATAAATGGATCTGGAGAGATGGCTCAGAGGTTAAGAGTACTGGCTGCTCTTCCAGAGGTCTTGAGTTCAATTCCCAGCAACCACATGGTGGCTCACAACCATCTGGTTCCCTCTTCTGGTCTGCCTGCATACATGCAGGTAGAATACTTGTATACATAATAAATAAACCTTAAAAAAATCGATAAACATTATTGTATATATTGTAGACTTATGTTTTCTTTCTTTTTCAAAACAAAGTTTCTTTGTGTAGTCCTTTGTGTAGAACTCATTCTGTAGACCAGGCTGTCCTGGAATTCATAGAGATCCACCTGCCTCTGCCTCCCAAGTGCTGGGACTAAAGGTATGTTCCACCACCGCCTGGCTGTTTTCTTTTCCCATGGGCAAATACTAGATTATATGGTGAAAAGAATTGCTGAGTCATGCAGTAACCGTGTGTTACCTTGTTAAGAAGCTGATCACTGTTCTCTATGGTAGGTAGTTGTGACACTCCTGCTTTAACCCCCACCCTCTGCCACTCACCAGTGCATGGTAGTCCACTTGTTCTGTCTGTGCCTCCAGCTCACTGGTTTTGGTCTGTTTGCATTTAGTCATTTTAGCGGTCCATCCTTCTTATTTTAATTTAGAATTCCTTAAAGACTGATGTAGAACCATCTTTTTTCTTATGTTTATTGACTGTTCCTATATGGGTTGAATAATTCTATATATTTGGAGTCAGAAGTGTTTCTGACTTTAGTGTTTTTAAAATACTTTCATATAGGAAATGAGCACTCTGAACTGAAGTATGAACAGAAAATTGATTTATGTTTCATATATAACTTATACACATAGCCTGATGGCAATTTTTTTTTTCAAGACAGGGTTTCTCCTGAAATTTGTAGATCAGGCTGGTCTAGAACTCACAGAGATCTGCCTGCCTCTGCCTTCCCAGTGCTAGGATTAAAGGTGTGGGCCACCACACCGGGCTTTATTTTCCTGGCGTTTTGACTGTATCCATCATAAAAGGTTAGGTATGTAATTTTCCTAACATTGCTTTGGTCAGATATTTTGTCACTGCAACAAGAAAAGTCACCAATACATTTAACAAAGATGAAAATATAAAACCAAGGACTGGGGGCTGGAGAGATGGCTCAGAGGTTAAGAGCACTGACTGCTCTTCCAGAGGTCCTGAGTTCAATTCCCAGCAACCACATGATGGCTCACAACCGTCCGTAATGAGATCTGGTACCCTCTTCTGGCCTGCAGACTTACAGCAGGCAGGCAGAACACTGTATACATTAATAAATAAATAAATCTTTAAAAAAAAACAAGGACTGGCTGGGCAGTGGTGGCACACACCTTTAATCCCAGCACTTGGGAGTCAGAGGCAGGCGGATCTCTGTGAGTTCGAGGCCAGTATGGTCTACAAAGTGAGTTCCAGGACAGCCAGGGCTTTTACACAGAGAAACCCTGTCTCGAAAAAAATGAATAAATAGAGAAATACACAAAACCAAGGATTGAGGCCAAGGAGATGGCTCAGTAGGTGCTTGCCACCAAGCCTGATGACCTGAGTTTGATTCCTGGGACCTACATAATGGAAGAAGAGTTGTCCTCTTCTCCGCCCCAACAAGGTTTCTCTGGTTGATTTTTTAAATTTCATATTTTTCCCTAGTTTTTCTTTTTTCTACCCTAATTTTTTATGCTTTTTCTTCTGCTTTCATTTACTATTCTTTAAAAAAAAATTTTGGTTGAAATGGAAAGTACTGTCATTAAAATGTGGTTTTCCTTATTATCTAAATATGCTTCTAAGCAAAGCATCACGAATTTTAATGTCCTGTGTTTTAATAACTTTTTTTTATGGTTTATTTCAAGATTTTGTTTGCTTATTTGGTTGGTTGGTTGGTTGGTTGGTTGATTTTAGGTTTTTGTTTTTTTTTTCAAAGCAAGGTTTTTCTGTGTATCCCTGACTGTCCTGAACTCATTCTGTAGACCAGGCTAGCCTCAAACTCACAGAGATCTGCCTACTTCTGCCTCCCCAGTGCTGGGATTAAAGGCATGGACCACCACTGCCTGGCTGAAGTGTTTTTTAAAAATATTTTATAGTTAATATTTGGGAGATTTTCCACATATGTTACTGATTTGTAGATTAATTCCATTTGGGTCAGAAAGTGTACTTTACATGGCTTGAATCATTTTATATTTATTAAGATCTATTTAATGACCCAGAATATTTTCCTTTTTTGTAAATATTTTCTGTGCACTTGTAAATAATATATGTTTTGCTGTTGCTGCATAGAGTATTCTGTGTGTGCCAAGCCAGGTTGATTTAGAATGCTAGACAGTTTTTCTCTGTTATTTTGTCAGCAGCAGTGGGGCAGGAGCTAGAACAATAGCTCTGCTTCTGTCTTGTAGCAGCCTGGGTTTTTTTCAGTGACCTGTACTCAGGTGAAGCCAAGATTTTTTGGCCTTATAAAGGAATTTCCGTACAATTCAGAATGAAGCAGAGTTGGACTGTATTAGGAAGAAAATTTTAAGTGGAGTTAAGCATACACATTAGGAAGAGAGAGATACACTCAGGAAACATAGGGAACACATCCAAGAGCATGGTTGTAGGCTTCTGAAGACTCTCCCATAAGCTCATATTAGCTGTAGATTGCATTTTGGTGGCTTCTAAAGTTATCCCAGCAGTTGCTAAGGAACGTCAGTGAGATCATAGAGGAGTTCTGGTGATGAATAGGATTTCTGTTGATAAGGTAAAATCCTAGGTCACAAAGATCATAGGAAATTAAGGTGTTTTTATTATAAAGTTTACAGATTTATTTATATGATTTCTAGAAATTTTCACATTTATATCTGTGAAAGGAGTATAAAAACTCATATATACTCAGCCCTTAAAAATGGTTCATTGCAGAGCCGGGCGGTGGTGGCGCACACCTTTAATCCCAGCACTCGGGAGGCAGAGCCAGGCGGATCTCTGTGAGTTCGAGGCCATCCTGGGCTACCAAGTGAGTTCCAGGAAAGGCGCAAAGCTACACAGAGAAACCCTGTCTCAAAAAAAAAAAAAAAAAAAAAAAATGGTTCATTGCTATTTTAACATTTTTATTTGAAAATAGCTCTGCATAAAAGGAGTATTACCTCTGTGTAAACAATCGCACAGCAAATGTTAATGGTGCTGGAATTATTGGTTCTGATGAGAAATTTCAGCGAGACTCTGGAATGGGGTCTCTTTTCTCATTCCATGTCCTCTTAATAGTCTCTGTCTCCCTTCCCCCATCCCTACCTAACCTCTCATCTTCCATCATGTCCCAGGCTGGTCTCAGACTCTATATAGATAGGAATGACCTTGAAGGTCTGATCCTCTTGCCATTGTCTTCCAAGTGTTGGGTTGTATGCCCCACCATTCTTGGCTGTTATCTAGAATCAGTATCAAAGATAAAAACACTTCCCCTGTAGCCAGTATTTGTTTTCCTTCTCACTCCTTTCTGTTCATTGAGCTTTCTATCTGGTGCCAGTTCTTTCTGTCCTCCCTAATCCTTCTGTACTTTTTGCTATGTACCTAAAACAAATCTTTAATGTTTTTGTGTGTAGGGGCTGATATTATCTTGCTCTATTATCCAGCCTGGCCCAGAATTTCTGGGCTCAAGTTATCCCCTGCCTCAGTTTCTCAAGGTAGCTGGGACTACTGGCAAGCGCCACAGTGCCTGGCTGTTTAGTTTGTTTAGATAGAGCCTCACTCTAGAGCCCAGGTTGGCCTGGACCTTGATGTCCTCCTGCCAGTGTCATCCCTGGGATTACAGGTATTACCAAGCTTGGCTTTTCTTTTGTTATTGTTTTTCCCTTCTGGTTATAGAATTCTAACTTGTAGATGTTTTGGATTGAATAGTCTATATGTATATGTCATTCTTTTCTTGTGCTTGAGGTTTGTTGAGCTTGATATTTGTGATTTGTAGTTTCTATCAAGTTAGGAATACCTTTGCAGTTATTTTCAGTACTCAGGTTCTTTTATGTTTCCTTCCTTCTCCCTGCTTCAAGGACTCCAATTAGTTAATGCAGTTTTCTGTTTTGTTGTTCTATTTTATATTTCTTCTGCTGCAATACCATCAGGTTCTGCTGTTGATCTCTGTTATGTATTGTGATCTCAGGTAGGGTTTACACGTCTAAATCTCTGCTTTTTATTTATTTATTTAACATATTAAGTTCTATCCCAAGCATTAGATTTGACCATCATTCTTGTTGATGACAACCTCTTTAAACAATGTTTTTTGTTTGTTTGTTTGCTTGCTTGCTTTTTAGAAAGGGTTTTACTATGCATAAATCCACCTGCCTCTGCTTCCCAAGTGCTAGGTTTAAAGATATTCGACACCACACCAATCTACAAACATATCTAATAGAAAGCTAGGACAAAATGATTGCAGCGAGCTACAAAGATACTGGGCGATGGTGGATATATAAAAGAAGATCAGTTGAATATGCTAGTAGCAGAATATTGAGAATGATTTTACAAGAATAGAATATTTAGTCATATTTATATGATGAGCATAATGATGTGGTGAAAAGTGGAAATCAACTGATACATGAAATAGAGAGGGTAACCTTGGAAAATTTTAAAAGGCTTTGAGATTTGGTACAAACATAGAAGACAGTAGCTTTTGAATCTGAGCACAACTAGGTCATCCTTTGTCACAGGAAGAGGCAGAGTCCTTGGGTACAGTTGGGCTAGCATGTTAGATTTTCCAGTTTGAGTCTAGAGGCTATTAACACTTGGCTGCACTTGTTGCTTATTGCAGTGGCCTCTGGGTAGTTTTCTGGGTGCTGTAGGCAAAACACTACACCATTTAGATACATTCCTCTCTAACTAAAGGGGATATTTAAATACAAGGGGAGGGGCTCTGGAGAGATGTCTCTGGTTAAGAGCACTGGCTTGCTATCCCAGAGGACCAGATAAAAACCACCTATAATAACTCAGTTCCAGGGGATCCAACACTCTTTTCTGGCCTTTATGGCCTACAGGCATGCAAATGTTACATAAACATACAGGCAGCCAAAATACCCATAAACATAAATCAAAAATAATAAAAACAAACAAACAAACAAAATATATATATATATTTGTATTTTTGAGACAAGATTTCTCTGTGTAGTTTTGGTGCCTTTCCTGGATCTTGCTCTGTAGATCAGGCTTGCCTTGAACTCACGGAGATCTGCCTGGCTCTACCTCCCAGTGCTGGGATTAAAGGCGTGCGCCACCGCCGCCTGGCTGCATTTATTTTTATTAGTAGTTGAGTCATTGAGGATAAGGCCTTCATAGGGCTAATAATGTCTTCTCACTTTTTGTTATTCTGTTTCACTGGTACCTAGCTCTTTGAGTGCATATGATGCAAAGGTGGCCTGCAATCCTAGCCCTCATTCAAGATTGAGACAGTCAAGGAGTTCAAGGTCATCCTGGATTACCTTGTCTCCAAAAGAAGGTTGAGGGGTTATACCTAGGAAAAACAAAGAATGATGGTACATTGAGTGAAAAATAGGAAAGCCATGATGACACATTAAGACTTGGGTTTGCAAAAAACAAAATGGAAGCCGTAGTTGAGTGAAAGGGGAGGACACTTCAATAAAGAAGATCCATTGCATAGCCATCTGAGATGAAAAATAAAGATAGCCGAAGGAGATGAGGTAGTTTTGCATCTTGGTGGTATTTTAGAGAGGATGTAGAAATGCTCTGTGACTAGCTGACAGCTGTCAAAGGTGAGAGAGGATTCAGTGATTACTTAGAATTCAGGGCTTTTAACTTTGTGTTCTTTTTGGAGATCGTCTTAGGGTTTCTCTTCTGTGAAGAGACAGCATGGCCATAGCAGCTCTTATAAGGAAAGCATTTCATTGAGGTGGTGGCTTACAGTTCAGATGTTCAGTTCATTATCATGGCAGGAAGCATGGTGGTGTGCAGGCAGACATGGTCTGGAGAAGTAGCTGAGAGTCCTACATCTTTCAGGCAACAGGAAGTCGACTGAGACACTGGGTGGTATCTTGAGCATAGGAAACCTCAAAGCCCACCCCCACAGTGACACACTTCCTCCAACAAGGCCACACCCACGCAAATAAGCCACACCTTCTAATAGTGCCACTCCCTATGAGCTTATGGGGCAAGTACATTCATACTGCCACAGAGACTGAATTTTTTGTTTGCTTGTTTGTTTGGTTGGTTGTTTTTTTTGAGTCAAGGTTTCTCTGTGTAATTGTCCTGGTTGTCTTGGAACTCATTCCATAGACCAGGCCGGCCTCTGCCTCTGAAATTCAGTTGATCTGTTTTTGTGTGTATCTAATTTGTAAATAAGAATTCTCTGCTGAATACAAAGTCATTAGGATTTGGCACTGTTTTCTTTAGTCTTCACATTAACTTCATTCCTGTGGCTGTGGCTCTTTGGTTGTGCTGATACAATTTGTTGAAAAGGTTATTTCTTCATTGAGTGATCTTGGCACCCTCTTTGAAAATTAGTTGACTTCTTTTTAACAGCAGCTAAAAAGTTTTGTTTTGTTTTTATTTGATTTTTTTAGACACAGGGTTTTGCTATGTAGCTTTGGAGCCTGTCCTGGAACTTGCTCTGTAGACCAGTATATTTTAGCTTTCTTATTATTTGGGTTGCTTTTTTTCCCAGAAATTTGAAGGAAGATTATGCTTATTTTTAAGTAGACTTTATATGAGTCTGTGTATAATTTGACATTATATCTTATAGTGCAGACTTAACACTTTCTACATGAAGTTATTTGGAAAGTTATGTTTCTGGTTTGCTAAAGCTTCTCTAATGCCATGTTCTATACTATTGTAGAGCTTTAAAAAAGTATGTGCTGGATGTTGGGGAGGCAGAGGAAGGAAGACCTCTGAATTTGAGGGTAGCCTGGTCTACATAGAATTTCAGATCAGCCAGAGCTACATAGTGAGGCCCTATTTGAAAAGAACAGCAAACAAACCAATAATAAAAAGACATATGTGACAGTGTTTTCTTCACAATGCTAATGGTCTTGTAAGATACTAGGGACAGAAGGTGGGAAGGGAGTAGAGTTGCATGGGACACCCTTGTGGAGGCTTTATATTTTAATAGAGAAGTAGTAGATTTTTAATGTATTATAGATTACACGGCTATTTTTTTTTATCTAGTATGCTTTTTTTTTTTTTAAGACAGGCTCTCATGTAGCACAGGTTATCCTTGAACTCATTATATAACTGAGGATGCCCTTCAATTTCCAGTGTTCTAACCTCTACCTCCAAGTACTGGCATTAAAGTTATGAGCCACAGTACTTGGTTTATGGGGTTTGAAGGATTTAACCCAGGGTTCACATATTCTAGACAAGTACTCTATCAACTGAGCTAAATCCCTAGCTCTTTTTTCAAATTAAGCCTTTTCTTTCCTCTTTTGGATACTGGGGATTGAACCCAGGACCTGGAGTATAGTAAATGAGTTCTGTCTACTACTTATTCCCACCTGTAGTCCAAGCATTTTGTCAGGACCAAGAATAAAAAATTTATTTTTGCTTAAAAGTATGTGTGTGTAGTATATGCAAGTGGCCTCAGGTGCCCAAGACGACTATGAGATGTCATGTCCCTTAGAACTGAAGTTACAGAGGGTTGTGATCCTTCAATATGGATGGGTGCCAAGAACTGAACTCAGATCCTCAGCAAGAGCTTGCTCTTAACACTGAGATATCTTTCTAGCCCCAAGACCAAGAATCTTGAAATTATTTGAACTCTGTAGGTCTCTGAATTAGATTATGAGTATCATAGGTGTGCTGAAAAGAAATGGAGACTCTTGAGTAGCTTTGTATTATTTCTGTAAGCTCTGGTAAAGTCTTTTGTTTAGATGCAGCCATTCCATTCTTTCAGTATTTTCTCTTTCATATATGTTGAAGCATTTTTATCACTTGGAGCTTTTCTCAACTAATGGATCTTTCTCTGGTGCCATTATTTTGTATAATTTTATGTTCCTTTCTCTTAGGAGTCTCAGCAGTCTAACTTTGGCCCTGGGGAACAAAGTAAGTATTTGTTTTCTTGCTGGTTTTCAAATTAGCCTATTTATTGGGCCTTTTTTTTAAATATAGCCATGCCTTATAGTATGTTTAATTTTTTTTATATTTCTCACTCTGATTTTATGATCTGATAAAAAAATAACAAGGTAAGCTTAGTATTTTTTATTTATTTATTTATTTATTTATTTATTTATTTATTTATTTATTTATTTATTATGTATACAGTGTTCTGTCTGCATATACACCTGCATGTCAGAAGAGGGCACCAGATCTCATTACAGATGGTTGTGAGCCACCATGTGGTTGCTGGGAATTGAACTCATGACCTCTGGAAGAACAGCCAGTGCTCTTAACCTCTGAGCCATCTCTCCAGCCCCAGGCTTAGTCTTAAGAAAACTCAAAAACTATAAGTCATTAAAAATCAAAATAAGCTGGGCATGGTGGCACATGCCTTTAGTCCCTCCCTGTACTTAGGAGGCAGAAGCAGGAGGATCTCTGTGAGTTTAAGGCCAACCTGGTTTACAGAGTGAACTTCAGGCTAGCCAGGCCTATGTAAAGAGAGACCCTATCTCAAAAAACAAACAAAAAATCAAAATAAACTTACTTATCTGAACTAATAGTTGAAATTTCATAAAATCAGTTTGGTGGACACCTCACAAAGTCAAGAGCCATTCAGTCTTTCCACTTCCTTCATGGTACTGGTTTTGTGGTGATAAAACCAAAGGCAGAAATGGTTATGTTAGCACTACCACAGGCTCTTTATGCATTCTGATCTGGATAGGAAGCCTGGTGTCCTCTGCAGCCTCAAGTTCACCTCCATTCTTCACTTTTCAGAACTCTTGTGGAAGATGGCTGTAGAGAATATATGTGGAACCAAGAAACGTGCAGATTGATAGTGCTGAGGTCAAGGTCAGGGCAGGTGTTTGAGTGGTGCCATGTACTCCGGTACGGAAAAGGAATTCTGTGAACAACAGTCCATTAGATAGATTTATGCTGGCCTAAGAGTATTCTGAAAAATACAAATAAGATTTTTTTTTTACCTTTTGCTAGTTGGTTTTGTGTGTGTATGTGTGTATGTGTGTGAGATTTTAATGCAAGAGATAAAACAAGAATTTATCTGTTTGTCTACAGAGTGAGTTCCAGGACAGCCAGAGCTGGTTCACAGAGAAACCCTGTCTCAGAAAAAAAAAAAAAAAAAAAAAAAAAAAAAAAAAAAAAAAAAAAAGCTCCTCTGTTTATATATTTATCATGTGTGTAGAAGGCATGGGAATGCGACAGTATACATGTGGAGGTCACAAGACAACTTATAGTAGTCAAACTTTAAATCTGTATGTCTATTTAGTTCTACCTTACAGCTGTAGTTCTGGGTAAAAGGGACGGTGGTTTTTGAAGCAGGATTTCACTGTGTAGCCTTGGCTGTCCTGGTACTCAGAGACCCTTCTGCCTCTATCTCTGGACTGCTAGGATTAAAGGCATTCATCACCACACCCATCTGTGACATATTGATACATCAAAAATAGCTAGCTATAAACCAAAAGTTTCTGATATTCTCTTAAAACTATCTCCTCCTTATTTTTGCTCCACCTTCATTTACTTCCCCAGTGTTTAATTATGGCAAATGGGATCATAAACTTCATCTTTTTTAATTGATTTTAATTGTATTTTTCACTGGATTTATTTTTATTTATTTTTTTTGGGGGGGAGCTCCTGGCCCTCAGGGATGAACTCCTCAGGGTATGGGTCTCCAGCTGTGCTAGTCATTAGTTGGCCCTTCCCATAATTTCTGCACCATCTTTACCCCAATACTAAATTTATTTTAAATGTTTATCAGTATGAATTCTAATTTTCTCTTGTAACATTAAACCATGTTACATGAAATAATTACAGTTATTTAATTAGCCTTCTACTAATGGACATGTATTTTATTTCCTAGCTTTTGTTGTTAAAGCTGTGCTATTATAATGCTGGATGTGGTGACACACACTTAGAACCCTGACTTTAGGGGAGCTGAAACAGAAAGATTGTAAGTTCAAGGCCGGTCCAGGCTCTGCATTATGAATTTGGGCCAGCCCAGGCTGTGTAGTGAGACCCTATCTTCAAAAAAATATCAGTAAAGCCATATTATTAATATCATGTTTCTATGTATGTGTGAGCATTCCTCCAGATACTGGGTAGATTCCTTTCATTGAACTAGATCAGTAGCAGGATAGTTACAGTATTGATAAGATAATGTGAGCATATTACCTTCTAAAATGGCTGTGAAAGATCATTGCTTATGAGAATGCCTGTGTCTCCTGTCCACTATGTGTAATGTATTTATTTTGATTTATATTTTTGAAGATACACATTTTGTATAGACATTTTATAATCTAAATAACCAATTACAGTTGCTCACTTCTATATCTTTTTGTTTTAGAAAGATACAGTGCTTCTGCTAAAACATCAAATGGGCACCAGTCAAAATCGTAAGTTTAATGTTTAATGGGTTTCTTTTTTTTCCTAGAAGTTATCTGTAATAGATGGATATTTTAAATGCTAGAAATATTACTCTTTTGTTTTTTAAAAATTTAAATTAACCATTTATTTTGTATGTGTATATGTATGCATATGGAAGTCAGAGGTCAACTTGTGGGAGTCATTCTCTGGTCTCGGCTTAAGTTCAGGTTGTTGGGCATAGTAGTAAGCCCCTTTACCCACTACTGATCTGTTTTGTTTTCACTGTGAAACCAGAGGCCTTGTGCATTGAACTACATACATCCCCATCTAGAAACACTAATGTTTTATGGCATACATAAGCTAACTTTATCTGTAAAGGGCCAGAGAGCATATAATAGATTTTATGTCCTAAGTACTCAGTTTTGTCATTACAGTATAAAAGCTGTACAGACCACAGACATGGCTGTGCTCCATCTAATAATACTAATTTTGTTGTTTTTGTTTTTTGATACCAAGTCTCATGGTGTCTAGGCTGTCCTCAAACTTACCATATGTATTCAAGGATGACATGAACTTAATCCTCTTGCCTCTACTTCTCATGTATTCAGATTATATATAGGCAAGTGTCATTATACCTGGGTTTTCTCTTTTTTGTGGTAATAGAGATTGAGGTTATTTCACATGCTAGGCAAGTAACATACTACTGAGCAATATCTCCAGTCCAATAAAAATTTATTTACAAGACAGTAGTGAAAAACTAGTTATGGAAATACTTGTCTATAATCCCAGCATTCCCAAAGACTGAGTCAGGAGGATTGCCATGAGTTTAAAGCCAGCCAGGACTACAAAAGCAAGTTTGACCAATCTAGGCTATATGTAGTAATACCTTTCTTCAAAACAACAAAAACAATACGAATCTCAACAAACAAAAGGAAAAGAAAAAACAGTAGTGGCCTAAGTTTGCCATGCAGGCCGTGGTTTGCCCACCTCTATTCTGAGTTCATAGTTTGTGTGTGAGTGTGTGTCCGTGTCCTGTTTTTTGAGACAGGGTTTCTCTGTGTATCCCTAGCTGTCCTGAAACTCACTCTATAGACTAGGCTGCCTTGAACTCATAGAGATCTTCCTGCCTCTGCTTCATGAGTGCTGGATTAAAGGCATGCACCAGCACTGCACATTTAATAAAAAAAAATTATGTTAAAGATGGGATTCTTCTTAGTAAACCTTCCATTTAGCCACTGAATGCAGCATCATTTCTATTTTTTTGAAGTTTTCATATTTTTATTATATTTTGTTGGTAGAATCAGAAGTATGTATCACAGTAGGGGTAGGTGTATTAGGTGATAATAAATTACATCTAGAGTGTGAGCACCTGAATCCTGAGATTAACCATTTAAATCAGTGATTAGAACAAAGTTCCAAAGAAACAGCAATTATGTGGCTTCCTGTACCACAGCCACAGACCACAGCACTAACCTCAGCCTAACAGCTTCTTCATGTAACAAAAGGAGGACTGAGAAGAAACTACATGAACAAAAACAACTTCCATACACTGCTGAGAAACTCATTATGTCTTTGTTATCATATCTTTATGCCAAAAACTAATAATGCTTGTCTGCTCCATATGGGCATACCACTTTGGTTGCTGAGGAAACAAAAACATGCTGGACCTAGAGAGGTGTCGTAAAGGCTTTGACATACTTACATATGTAAACAGGTTCATTGAGCTGCCATTATTAAATCATAAGGGCTGAGAGAATTCAGAGGAAGTCCATTTTCCTTACTGGATCAGTCATAGAGATATGCTAAGCCCTTGTTCAAAGAAAACTTTTTAAAAATTCCATTTACTGAACTAATTTTAAACCACTTCTCATATTACATAGTCATCTGGTTACTTATTTCAGGTGATTGTGTGTGTGTGTGTGTGTGTGTGTGTGTATTTCGAATTTGGGGGTCAGATTTAGAAATGCAGATTAGGCTTTGAGGGGAGAGTACAAGTAGTTACTGCTGTGAAAGAAGACTTCTTCCTACTGATTGGAGACTCACAACACTTTAAAAAGAAAGGTAATGAGGAAGTCAATATTTTCTAGATACAGATCTCCCAAACTTTATGTTAATTTTTCCTTCATGAAAAAAAAACCCCAAAACCACAGAATGTTTCGTGTTACTCACATTTTATTTAAATCTAATGATTTTGGACTTAAGGAAAACTTAAATCTTTGATTTTACTTTAAAAAATTGTAGAAATTGTCAGCTTATTGTATTTATATATTTTTAATTCAATTTAAATTTCGGTGAAGGAAGATTTAGAACTTGGATTTAAAAATTCATACAAAGCCATTTCTTACCCCAAACTCTAGTGCTGGTGTCACTTGTCTTCATAGCAAGGCATTGTGAACCAGAACTTTTTTCAGTTAACCAGTTGCCAGCAGTCACTCAGCTCTTTGTCTTCATGGACCATTGGAGACAAGGGAGGAGTTGCTTGATGGTTCCATTCTCTCTTGCTTCTCCTTAGGACTCATATCTGGTAGATCACGCTTTAGTAACTGTTTTGGTATCCATGCGTGTGTCCAATGAGAGGGTAGATCACGCTTTAGTAACTGTTTTGGTATCCATGCGTGTGTCCAATGAGAGGGTAGATCACGCTTTAGTAACTGTGTTAGTATTCATGCCTGTGTCCAATGAGAGACAAGTTTGTTGTAACAGGAGTGCATGTGAGAGTTGAACTAGAAAAGGAAGTGAGCATGTTACTAGTGGAGGCAGCAGCTTTGTTCCTACCGTCCTACCATGCCCACTGCTCTCTTTGCAGAATGCTACATTTTGCTTTCTTTAATTTTTGTTTTTGTTTTTTGAAACAAAGTTTCTCTGTGTAGCCCTGGCTGTTCTGGAATTCTTTCTGTAGGCCAGGTTGGCCTTGAACTCAGAGATCCACCTGCCTCTGCCTCCGGAGTGCTGGGATTGAAGGCATGTGCACCATCACCTGGCTTAAATTAAAAAAAAAAAATTTTTTTTAATGCATGGAAAGTTGAGGTTATAAAAATGGATAATTTCTTCCTTTTTTTAAAATTTTTTTTTTTGGTTTTTCAAAACAGAGTTTCTCTGTGTAACTGCCCTGGCTGTCCTGGAACTTACTTTGTAAACCAGACTGGCGGGCCTCGAATTCACAGAGATCCATCTGCCTCTGCCTCCCAAGTGCTGGGATTAAAGGCGTGCACCACCACCACCTGGCTTAAATTTTTTACTAGAATGTGAGCAAATCTAAACAGGATAAAGACAGTGTGTGCATGTGTATTTCAATTAAATTTTTGGCTAACACAATGATTAGTCCTAGAATTATGGTAAATATTTAGTACTCTGGCCTGCTGTGATTAATGTTCCTTTCTGCCTTTTCCCTCTAGTATGTTAAAAGATGACTTAAAACTAAGCAGCAGTGAAGACAGTGATGGGGAACAGGTGTGTCTACTATACAGTCTGTTGTCAGTCCTTTATACTTACTGTTTGATTGTGTCGTAGTTTTTAAGATCAGTACATTTTCCTGTAAGTTTTCTTATACTGGATGTTTGTAGTCTTCTGTAATGTCATTAAGCTTCCCTTTTTGTTATTTTAATTGACTTTTCCTTAACATTTATTATGGACCAGAACATACTTTTGAAGCAGGAGGTTACTTACAAGAAATATTTTCAAAAGTTTTTAAAAAATGATTTTTTTTTTTTAATACAAATGGGTCCCTTGGAACTGGAGTTACAGATGGTTGTGAGCACCATGTAGGTTCTGGGATCTTCTGCAAGAGTACTTGCAGGTAGTGCTCTTAAATGATGAGCCATCTCTCCAACCCCCCAACTTTTTAAGTCTTATCCTAGAGAATTTTTTTTTGTAGTAGAGTACTACTGGAGACTGAGGTAGGCAAGCACTACTTCTTTAAGTAAACACAGGATCCTGGTTTGGTATTGTTTGTGGTGCTTTGGTTATTGGTTTTGTTTTGAGGCAGTGTTTCATCAAGTGGCCCAGGCTGGCCTCAGTCTCATGATCCTGCTGCTTCCACCTTTTGAGTGCTATGATGGACTAGGTTTTTTTTGTTTGTTGTTGTTGTTTGTTTGTTTGTTTTGTTTTTTGAGACAGGGTTTCTCTGTGTAGCTTTGCACCTTTCCTGGGACTCACTTGGTAGCCCAGGCTGGCCTCAAACTCACAGAGATCTGCCTGCCTCTGCCTCCTGAGTGCTGGGATTAAAGGCGTTCGCCACCACCACCTGGCCTAGGTTTTGTTTTTTTAATCACTCTATTAAGTAAACATTAATTCATTATTGTTTAGAGAAGCCAGTTTTTGTTTTTTGAGTTCAGACATTCATATTATTTGTCATTTCACATATTTCTTATGCTTTACTTTTAGGATTGTGATAAGACAATGCCAAGGAGTACACCAGGAAGGTAGAGATCCTTTTATTTTGTGGTCTTGTTTTTATGGCTGAGATTGGTTTGATTTAACATTGTGGTGGTATCATAAGTGGCCTTATAAATAATGTCGGCTATGATGGTGATTGTAGTTCTATTAATTAACTAAAATTTATTAAATTATGTACTCAGACTGGGTGAATTTTAATGTATGTTAAAAGTGAGTATTATTAGGTGAGTGATATATAAGAAACTTTTGGGGGATGTCTGTTTGTAGAAGTTTTGGGTTCTTTTAAATGTAACAGTGTGGGCACACTTTGTTACTCAGGTTGGTTGCAGGTTTGGGTGAGTTTCTGTTGCCATTGTAAAGGAAACTTTTATCATTTCTATTTTCTCTCCTTCAGTAACTCTGAGCCTTCACATCATAACAGTGAGGGAGCAGAGAACTCCAGGGATGACTCGAGCAGCCACAGTGGATCTGAAAGCAGCTCTGGCTCCGACTCGGAGAGCGAGAGCAGCTCCAGTGACAGCGAGGCCAATGAGCCTTCACAGGACGCATCTCCTGAGGTGAGGGGGGGGCTGCTTCCGTAAGCTTTGTCACGAGATCCACCCAGCCCGTCACCGCAGAGTCTGATCAAGGCAGTGGAACCATGTAGCTATCTTACAGAAAACCTAAACCAGTTCGGTTTTCTTCTTATTTAAAAAAACTTGGGGTTGGGGATGTAGCTCAGTGGTAGAGCGCTGGCCCTGGATTCGGTCCTCAGCCCCCTCCCCCCAAAAAAAACAACTTTTAAAAAAATTAGGATTTAGTCCTTACTTTTGCCTCTTAACAGGGAATTTATGTTATGTAGTTACTGTGAATAAAGTGAGTCTCATGTTGTATAATTGTTTTGTAGATTGATAAGGTGCAACTGAAAGTCTCTCCTGGTACCAACATCATTTTTACTTTCTAGAATTATTGCAATACTGCCTTTCAAATTGAACTTCTTACTGTAATATTGGTCATTTAAAGGCCATTTGTAATAAGCTGTTCATGGTAGCTCTACCTGTAATCTAGCACTCAGGAGGCCAAGTGATTAGAGGTAATCGTATTTTACCTGTGCTTTAATCCTGGCAGAAACTGGGCAAACAAATGCTTGTTACATTAAGCATTGTTCTTTTTCCTCTTACTTGACTTTATAAGGGGGGGGAGGGGCTTCAATATTGGGGAAAAAAAAACTACATTTATATATTTCTCTGTTGTTTTTTTTTTCCAGCCTGAACCACCACCAACAAACAAGTGGCAACTTGATAATTGGTTGAACAAAGTGAACCCACATAAAGTGTCCCCAGCTTCTTCTGTAGACAGTAATGTCCCATCATCTCAAGCCTACAAAAAAGAAGGCCGAGAACAGGGTGCTGGGAATAACTATACTGATCCTGGAGGACCAAAAGAAACAAGTTCTGCTACTCCAGGACGAGACTCTAAAACCATCCAAAAGGGATCAGAAAGTGGACGCGGGAGGCAAAAGTCTCCTGCACAGAGTGACAGCACCACACAGAGGAGAACTGTCGGCAAAAAGCAACCCAAAAAGGCTGAGAAGTCAGCTGCTGAAGAGCCCCGCGGAGGCCTGAAGATAGAAAGTGAAACCCCTGTAGACATGGCCACCAGCATGCCCTCCAGCCGGCACAAAGCCGCCACCAAGGGCTCGAGGAAACCCAACATCAAAAAGGAATCGAAATCCTCTCCTCGACCTATAGCAGAGAAAAAGAAATACAAGTCATCAAGTAAATCCTCCCAGAAATCTAGGGAAATCATAGACACAGATACCTCGTCCTCAGATTCAGATGAGAGTGAGAGCCCCCCTCCTTCCTCACAGACTCCCAAGTACCCCGAAAGCAATAGGACTCCTGTCAAGCCCTCCTCCGTGGAGGAAGAAGATAGCTTTTTTCGGCAACGAATGTTCTCTCCTATGGAAGAGAAGGAGCTCCTTTCCCCACTCAGTGAGCCCGATGACAGGTACCCACTTATTGTCAAGATTGACCTGAATCTCTTGACTAGAATACCAGGAAAGCCTTACAAAGAAACAGAACCTCCCAAGGGGGAAAAGAAAAATGTGCCAGAAAAACACGGGAGAGAGGCACAGAAGCAAACCTCAGAAAAGGCTTCCAACAAAGGCAAGAGGAAACACAAGGTATGTAAGGGGTTGTGGTTCTTTTTTTTTTTTTTTTTTTTTTTTTTAATAATTTTGTTCCCACTTTCCATGTCTTTAAACATCTTGATATTAAAACACTAGCTATTTTTTAAAAATTTTTATTTATGTGTGTCTGTGAGTATATGCTGTGTGTGTGTGTGTGTGTGTGTGTCTGTCTGTCTATCTGTCTTGTGTCTGTTTCTGTGTGTGTATATATACTCATGCTTGTGTATGTTCCTTTGAAGGCCAATAGAGGGTGTCAAATTCCCTGGAGCCAGTTATAGCTAGTTGTGAGCTGCCTGACATTGATGGTTACTAGGATCCAAACTTTGGTCCTGCTAGAAGAGTAGCAAGTGCCCTTAACTGCTGATCAACCTCTCTATCCCCAAGTACTTGCTGTTTTGCCTTTACATTAGTCACTGTAAGTAATGTGGGTAAAACTGACTCACTAATTTTGTGACATGTACATCCTTGAGAATGTATACACACCTTGCGCCTAGCTTTTTTTCCATTAACAAAGGTCAGAACTGAGAACATTCCCTACGGCTCAGTGACAGAGCCTTGCTCTTGCTAAGCATGTGTGAAGCTCTGGATGCAGTCCAACATAGAAAGAAAGTTGTTGGCACATAGCTCACTCTCATCCCTCAAACTTAAAGACAAAGCATAGTATATAAGATCAGCTTTATATAGACCCTCTATATATGTATGTGCATCATATTGTGCCTAGTACCCAAGGAGGTCAAAACAGGGTGTTAGATCCCCTGGAACTTGAGTTAGAGATGATTGAACCACTATGTAGGTGCTTAGAACCCAGATCCTCTACAAAAGCAGCCAGTGGCTTTTAACCACTGAGACATCTTTCCAGCCATTCCCCAAGAATTAGGATTTTTGAAATGCTATTTTGGTAAAATGTCGGTGCAGTTCCTGGAGGCTGTGCTGATAATACTGGGAGGAGACCCAGTCACTGGTAAGCAGTTGGTAGGTGACTTTTTCTCATGTTTTCATTTATCTGAACTTAATCTTTTGGTGTCAAGCAGACTTCTGTTACAGTAGAGGTAGAATATTTGTTTGCATTCCTGTTGCTTACTACTTGAAGCAAGAGGAAAACTTAGATTTACCTATGGAAGTAACATCAACAGCAGTTAGGCTTTCCACTTGTGATTCGGCCAAGAAGTTTTGATATGATAGGGCGTAGCTGTTAGCAAGTAGCAGTATGTTCATGTGCTGATGAAATTGTAGAGTTGGAACTTCCATGCAGTGCTAGTAGAACTGGGAGATGCAGCTGCTTTGGAACACAGTTGGCAGTTTCTCAAAAAAGCTGAATATACAGTTACCTTATGATCTACCAATTATAGGTATATGTCCGAGAAAGTAATGGAAATATAAACACAAAACTATTACTATAGAGCTCATAGCCATATCTGAACGATCAATTAGTCAAAAATTGGTTATTAACTGATGAATAAATCAAATATATTATAGCTATATAGTACAATGCTATCTAGCCATAAATGATATGAATCATTAAAAGAGTATGTTAAAAAAGGATCCAGGTATCAAAGACCGCATTATATGATTCCGCTTATTTGTGAGGTCTAGTAAGACTAAATGTGCAGATTAAAGATTATCAGGGCCTTGGAGAAGAAGAAATTGTGAACTGACTACTGACACAAATGACTTTGAGGGATGATAAAAATGTTCTAAAATTGCTTATGATGATGACTGTATAATTCTGAGTAAATGCCAGAGAATTATATACTTTTTGTTGTTGTTGTTTGTTTTATTCAAGATGGGGTTTCTCCTATAGCTTTGGTGCCTGTTCTGGATCTCGTTCTGTAGACCAGGCTAGCTCATATTCACAGAGATCTGCCTGGTTCTGCCTTCCATGGTGGGATTAAAGTTGTATGCCACACCGCCGCCTGGCAGAATTATATACTTTTAGAGGGTGGATTTTATGGTTTGTGAGTTAAATCTTAATTACATTTCTGTGAATCTGTCTGCCTCTAGAATTATAACATAAAAGAGATACACCTTCTAAGACTTTAGGGAAATCTGTTAATAGTGTTTAGGCTGTGTGGATCTAACATAGGACACCCTTCTCATGCTACTGTTTCTGTTTTTGTCCAGAATGATGATGATAACCGAGCCAGTGAGAGCAAAAAACCCAAAATGGAGGACAAGAACTCATCAGGCCACAAGCCATCCAGCAACAGAGAGTATGTCCCCAAATCATGTTGCATGCCATTATTGGCTAGTTGTTGTTGGGTACTTTTTGACATACTTCAGAGTATTCTTTTTAATAACCAAATGTCATATATATATGCACATGCAGAAGTAGTAGGAGCTTTGCTTTTAGCTAATAGCAATGGGAAGCATTTACTCTCTTCTTTTTTATAGTGAGATAAGAATATATCCTAGTTAGGTTACTATTGCTATGATGAAACACCATGATCAAAAAACAACTTGAGCCGGGCGGTGGTGGCACATGCCTTTAATCCCAGCACTCGTGAGGCAGAGCCAGGCGGATCTCTGTGAGTTCGAGGCCAGCCTGGTCTACAGAGTGAGATCCAGGAAAGGCGCAAAGCTACCCAGAGAAACCCTGTCTCGACAAACCAAAAACCAAAACAAAACAAAAAACAACTTGAGGAGGAAAGAATTTATTTGGCTTATGCTTCTTCATCACCTCAACTATTTTATCACTTAAGGAAGTCAGGACAGGGACTCAAGCAGGACAAGAACCTGGAAACAGGAACTGATGCAGAGGCCATGGAGGGGTGCTGCTAACTGGCTTCCTTGCTCTCCATGGCTTGCTCTGGCTGCTTTCTAATGGAACCCAGAACCACCAGCCCAGACATCATTACAATCGGCTGGGCCCTCCCATATCAATCACTAATTAAGAAAATTCTCTATAGGGCTAGTCCAAACTTAGGGAAGCATTTTCTCCATTGAGGTTCCCATCTCTCAAATGATTCTTGCCTGTGTCAGGTTGCCATAAAACTAGCCAGCACAGAATATTTATTGTGTGGCAGGTTGTTCGGGCCCTGGGCATGATTGTAGAAAAGAGAAAATAAGTAAATTGGGCAGGTGGAGGAAGAAACCAGATGACTACTTTATGGAATTTACAGTCTTTTTGTTTTGCAAGCATATGGAGAATGCCTTTGCAAATTTGTCCTAAAGGCTGGTGAAATAGGTGGGAAAATCCTTCACTCCCATCTCACTCTGCAGAAATGAGGGCATTTGTTTTGTTTGACAGGTCATCTAAGCAGAGTAGTACAAAAGAAAAGGACTTGCTACCTTCACCTGCTGGGCCTGTTCCTTCAAAAGATGCAAAACCAGAGCATGGCTCTCGGAAGAGGACTGTCAGTCAGTCATCTTCCTTAAAATCCAGCAGTACCAACAACAAGGAGAATAGTGGCAGCAGCAAGAGTAGTTCCTCGACTTCAAAGCAGAAGAAGACCGAAGGGAAGGTTTCCAGCAGCTCCAAAGAGGCCAAGGTATGGTGCTAGGGCTTGAGCCTTTGAAAATCCCCCTGCCACGTCTTCTTCAGGGTTGTAAGCGTCTCGTTAAAGTTAGAGGCCTGTTTCGTTTTTTAAAAAGGTGTTTTTAAAATGAGTGTGAGCGTGCACGTGCGTGTGTGGACAGCTTTCAGGAATTAGTTCTCATTTCTCATCTTGTTGATGAGGCTCTCTCTACTGCTGCTGCAGTGCTGTATACCCCAGGTTAGCTGGGCTGGAGTTTCTGGGCAGTTTTCCTCTATAGGAGTAGGCAGAGCTGCAGATTGTGCCGCCACATCTGGCTTTTTTTTTTTTTTTTTTTTTTTTTTTTTTGAGGTAGGGTCTCACCACGTAGCTAGCCTTAGCTGGCCTGGAACTCAAAGAAATCCACTTGCCTCTGCTTTTTGAATGCGGGACTAAAAGTGTGTGCTACCTCACCTGGCTTCAAATGGTCGTCTTTATTAACATAGCAATGGTATAGTTGAATAGTCTTGGTATTTACTGATGAAGATTTGGTCCAAGAAGGTTTTTCAAAGCTGTCTTTCGTAGACTTAAATCTGTTTATGATATTATCTTTATTTTTTTTTTCTTAAGACAGCATCTCACTATGTATCCTGACTTGGATGTGAAAAAAACCTGATCCAACTGTCCCAATCTCCCAAATGACCAGGTTGTTCATATGCTTTCTAAGCTGTTCTGGTCAAGAGCAAGTTCATGACATTACAGTATTAAAGTGAAAATTAAGAAAATATTTAAGTTTTTAAAAATATAATCTGCTGGATTGTTGTTAATTGAGTTAACAAAAATTTGGAAATCAACTAGACTGCTACAGGCTGTTAAATGCATTAATTAAAGATTTTAAGAACAGGAGAGACGGCTCAGTGGTTAAGAGCACCAGCTGCTCTTTCAGAGGACCCACATTCAGTCCCAGCATCCACATGGCAGTTTACAGTTGTCTTTAACTCCAGTTCCAGGGGATCTGACACCAATGCATATAAACTAAAATTAATTATTAAAAAATATTTTAAGTCAAATTATGAGCTTTTCAATCTGAGTTGTACAGATGGATTTCTTTCTAAATAAGCACCCTATTTCTTTAGTAACTTGAGGAGCTCACCCAGCACCCAAGGACACTGACTGTTCTGTTGCCTCCTTCACTGTTCCTGTTTTTACCTGCTTACCAGCTTTTTATCCATTTCTCATCTTTTTCAATACAGGATTTTGAGGTTTCCACACCAGTTTCTTAAATTAGTACTTTTTCGAAAAGTGCATTCCTTTAGCTCACATTCATCTGGCTTCTTGTGTCTATAGGTAGAGGTCACTATCTTTATAAAGGAGGCTTCTTTCAGTAACTTTGTCCTTGAAAGCAGGAATTTGTATGTCTTAATGTTTTTGCCAGTGTTTAATTTATTAAGAAATTAGGAAATACTTTTGTTGAATATGTTGAGTCATACTTGGTATTTATTGGTTTTTGTTTTATTTTGTATATGAGATCAGAGTCTCATCATAGAATTCAGGCTGACCTGGGAGTTGATCTCGCCTCAGCCTCCAAAATTATGGGATTATAGACATGTTTACTATCACTTTACCCTTTACCTTTTACTTTATTTGTTTTTTTTGTTTGTTTGTTTGTTTGTTTGTTTTGGTTTTTCGAGACAGGGTTTCTCTGTGTAGCTTTGCGCCTTTCCTGGATCTCGCTCTGTAGACAAGGCTGGCCTTGAACTCACAAAGATCCACCTGCCCCTGCCTCCCAAGTGCTGGGATTAAAGATGTGCCCCACCACTGCCTGGCTACTTTATTATTTTTGACAAAATATAAAACAGGCCCTTACTAGTTTGATATCATGTTTTTACAACATTTAACAGTTATTAAAGTTGTTAATGTTAGTCTTGACAGTTTATAATTCAGGCAATTATGTATATGTTTGTTGAAGAAAAATCTGTAATTCAGAAAACATGCTAGTGTTAGATCCTCTTTTCTTAAAAAAAAAAAAAAAAAAACCTACTTGATGTTATTACTGTCAACCAAAGAAAAATTAGACAATATAAAAAAAACCAGAGTTACAGATTTTTATAAATAAAAAGTTTGTTGAAATAAACCACACCCCCCCCAAAAAAAAAATTTCAGGAAAGTTGAATTTTCTTTTCAAAATAAAATTTTGGTCAGGTCATGGAGGCTCATGCCTTTAATCTTAGCACTGGGAAGGCAGAAGCAAGAGAATCTCTGTATGTCTGGTCTACAGAATGAGTTCCGGGACAGCGCCAGGACTACACAGTGAAACCTTATCTCAAATAATAATAATAATTACTATTATTACTATATTCTGAATGTAAGGACTTTAGAACTATGTATAAAATATGAAAGAGCCTGTGAGCAGGTTACAGTGCAGCATGCTCAGGGAGCACACAGACTTTAACATAAAGAATGGACCATGTTTTCACATCACAAGACTTTTATTCTTTGGCATAAACTGTAATAGGTGGAATGGAAATACTCTCTAGTTCTTTTGAAAACAGATTTTTCAGCACAAGTAATAAGTTGATGTATTACCAATTTTTTCTACTTAAAATTTTTTTCAATATTTATTTTATGTGTATAAATGTGTACCACATGGTCACCTGGAAGTTTTGGGTGGCATCAAACCCAGGGCCTCTGCAAGAGCAACAAGCTCTCTAAACTGCTGAGCCATCTCTCTAGTCCCCAGGTTTTTTTACTTTAGAACCGTTCATACATTCTACTAATCTATGGGGAAGTGTGTCTTCATTTTATCAAAGATGGCACTGAATTGGAGGCATTTGGGGTGAGAAAGAGTTGAAGAGAGAGAGAGACAGACTAGAGAGACCATACACACTCACCTCAAAGACAACCCTTGCATGAAAGCATACATTAATGGGAAGCAGAATAAAATTTAAGTGGTTGGACCTGGGCTTTAAATTCAGATTGCAGGAATGCAATTCTGAGTTGCTTGAACTTACCTTTACAGAGGCTACTCACTCTCCTTGATACTACTCTTTTCCCCGATGAGAACAACAAACAATATTTACTACATATAGCACACTCTGTATTCTACAAGGTGGTGAGAAGAAAGAAATGAAAATGTGTAGTTTTTTTCTGTGTAAGAAATCAGTAGGTTGCTGGGCCATGGGGCACACACCTTTAATCCTAGCACTTGGGAGGCAGAGGCAGAGGATTTCTGTGAGTTTGAAGCCATCCTGGTCTATAGCACTAGTTCCAGGACAGCTGGGGCTATTACGCAGAGAAACCCTGTCTCAAAAAAAAAAAAAAGAAAAGAAAGAAAGGAAGGAAGGAAGAGAAAGGAAGGAAGGAAAGAAAGAAGGAAGGAAAGAGAGAGAGAAAGGAAGGAAGGAAGGAAGGAAGGAAGGAAGGAAGGAAGAAGGGAAGAAGGAAAGAAGAAAGAAAGAAACAAAGAGAGAGAGAGAGGAACCAGCAGTTTTGGGACTGATCAATAGTGAATCATGATTAAGTAAACATAGAACCCTATAGCAAATCTTAGAGTGGGTGTCTGAGTTAGAGTCTTTGAATTTTTCCACAGGAAGTGAAGTTTAAAGAAAGCCTAGAGTCAGGAGTAGAACTTAAATAGCTGACTTATTTACTTAGCCCTTTGCTTACTTCAACTGATTCACGTGATGCTTTCTTTACCTGGTGACGTGTAAGTACTCAGTAAATACTGTCTTAGCTGATACTGTCAGTAAGCCGTTCTTGCTAAATAAATGCGTACAAGTAGTACATTGATGTTGGTTAAGAAGAGACCACCACTGGTATAGAAAGAACAAAGCATCAGAGCTTTGCAAGACAGATCATAAGTTCAACCTGAGCCGTCTAGTGAGCTTATGATTGTATTCGTTAGCCAAAGTTGCCATGGCACCACCACAGACGGGTGCTGATAGAAACAGAGCTGAATGGTACTGGGTTTCTAGAAGTTTGAGCATTATCTTCTCAGAGAAGGAAAGAGCTGAAAACCAGTGCCCCACTGAAATGACACAGCTGTGATCCTTCTTAATACCCCAGGGTATAGTATTGCCTGTGTCCCAAGGAGCAGTCCCTACCCCTGTATTCAGACTGTTTTGTTTTGTTTTCCCATTTTAAATTATGAGTATGTATCTGTGTATTTTGTGTAGACATGAATATCTACACTTGGAAGCCACAGGTATCAAATATTCCTGGAGCTGCAGTTAGAGACAGTTGTGAGCTGCTGGGACCCAAACTCAAGTCCTCTGGAAGAGCAAGAAATGCTGTTATTCACTGAAACTCCTTTCCAGCCCTTTAGATTAGACTACCTTAAAACAACAGCAACAAACCTATCTAACCCTAACACTTATTTCGTAGCATAGTTGAAGAATGAACAACCATGCTAAGTAGTTAACTTAGGCTTTATTAATGAATTTCTGTTTTTGTTTTGTTTTTGGAAACAGGATCTCACTGTATAGCCCTGAGTGACCTGAACTTGCTGTGTAGACCAGGCTGTTCTTAAACTTAGAGAAATCCTCCTGACTGAGTGTAGAGATTAAAGGCCTGTGCCATCACACCCAGTTTGTGTTTTCCTGAGTGGTACTGCCCTTTAATTCTTTTTTTAAAGGAGTGTGTGTGTGTGTGTGTCTGTGTGTGTGTGTGTGTGTGTGTGTATATGTGTATGTGTAGGCTTAGGCGTGTGCCTATGCGTGTATACAGAGGCCAGGGGAGGGCCTTAGGTATCATTCCCTACTGAACTTATCTCTTTTGTTTGTTTGTTTGTTTTGTTGTTGTTTTTTTTTTGAGTCAGGGTTTCTCTGTGTAGACCAGTCTGGCCTGGGCAAAGAGATCTGCTTGCCTCTGCCTCTGGTGGGATTAAAGGCATGTGCCACCACTGCCTGGCTAAAATGCTTTCTTTTTAAATGCTTTAAAAAAAAATGTATGTGTATGAGTGTTTTACGTGCATGTATATGTGATATGTACCACTTGTGTGCCTGATGCCCACAGAGGTCAAAAGAAAGCATTGGATTCCTGAAACTAGAATTTCAGACGATTTGTGAGCCACCATGTGGGTGCTTGGGACCAAACCTAAGTACTCTGCAGTAGCAACCAGTGCTCTTAACTGCTGAGCCATCTCTCCAGCCCTTTATCTTTTGAACCTGAAGCTCCCCTGCTCCCTGGATCTACCTGCTTTTGCCCCACAACCCTGGTGTTCCAGGAACCTACAGCCATGCCCAGCTTCTGTGCAGGTGCCGGGGATTTGAACTCAGATTCTCTTGCTTCACTGCACATGTGCTTACCCACTCAGCCAATCTCCCCAACCCAGTGCTGCCACATTGATACTCAGTTTGTGTCTTCTTAACAAGTACCTAGCCTAAGTGCCCACGTGTAGTAGAGTCTTAGTAAATATAAGAATAGTATTCTGGTTATATAAAATGGACCCAATCTCTCTTTTGTAAGTACTATGGACTGTAATAACAAAGAAACTTGAAGACTGGAATTTTGTTTCTGTTTTAGCAGTGGCTGAGGAAAGTGAGATTAGCTTCATTTTTAGTCTCCTGACAATTTTCAACTTAGTTATATATATATATATATATTTTTTTTGGTCAGGAAAAGGCTCCAAATAGTTCTTCTAATTGTCCTCCATCTACACCAACTCCTGATTCTTCGAAGCCTCGGAGAACAAAGCTTGCCTTTGATGACAGGTGAGACATGTTTGGTTTTTGTTCTTTTGAGACAGAATCTCACTGTGTAGTCTTTTCTGGCCTGGAGCTCACTATGTAGACTAGGCTGGCCTCAAACTCTTAGAGATTGGCCTGCCTCAGCCTCCTGAGTGCTGGAATTAGAAGCATGCAACAGTGTGCCAGCTGTAAAGAGAAAAATATACTTTTGTGTGTGCATTTAAGAAATTCCAGTCAGCATGTAAGAAACTCATTTAAATATGTCAGTTCCTATAGGGTTAGTACTTGTATCTGACCTATAGAATATTCAGGTTCTAACTTGAAAAGCTAGTCCAGCCACTACTTTAACAACAAGTGGCTCCCCTAAGACAGGAAAGGTGTGCTTCCTGGAGCTGCTCCTACTGCCAGTGCACTGTGGATAACAGAGGTCTTCTCAGATACACAATATTGCTTTCTCTTGCCTTCTGCTAGAAGGTACTTCTCTTCCCTCCATCATATTTACTTTTGATTTGAAAAAGCAACTTGAGGAAGCTGATGTTGAATACTAGGGGGCTTGATCTCTGTGGGCTTGAGTAGAAGATTTGACACAGTAGCCCATAGTTTATGTTCTTTATATATATTTCTCATAAAACAGAAATGTTTTATAATTATTCACTTCTTGAGAATGTGAAAGCTGCAAGATACTAGAGTCTAAAATAACTTAGTAATTATCTTAAGAAATGTTGACCATTTTTATTTATAAAGAAAATTTATTTTGCAGAAATTATTCAGCAGATCATTATTTACAAGAAGCAAAAAAACTCAAACACAATGCAGATGCTTTGGTACGTAAATATTCTTCATAATGTGCTTCATCAAGCTAAAGTGTCCTTCTTGTTTATGCTTGCAGTGGGTCAGTCTTTATTTAGCACTGTTCTCCTTTAGTCTGATAGGTTTGAGAAAGCAGTGTACTACCTTGATGCTGTAGTGTCTTTCATTGAGTGTGGGAATGCATTAGAGAAGAATGCTCAGGAATCCAAGTCCCCGTTCCCAATGTACTCAGACACTGTGGAGCTCATCAAGTAAGTGGAAACTTGGCATTTTGTTGGAATAACTTTATCATTTATTATTGTGAGTTTGTTTTCTAGTTAACCGAATAAGGTGAACTGGGAAGATGCTTATTCCTTAGGGAAGAATTTTAGTGGGTGCTTTATTTTGGTTTGATTCTGATATTTTGAGAACATAGGAAGGTTTACAATCAAGGTAAAATATTCTGTTCTATTTGTCACTTGTTTTTTTTATCTCAACTCATAGATACACTATGAAACTAAAGAATTATTTGGCACCAGATGCTACAGCTGCAGACAAAAGACTCACAGTACTCTGGTAAGTATTGTGTATTCCTTGCTGGGTGACAGACAGTCCTTGATGAATTGTGCTGTGTATGCTTTTCTGAGTATTAGCCTTGAATCAGTCTTCCATAAAGTCTTTTCTTAACAGTCAAACAGGAAATAGCTCAGAATCTTTGGTGAAAGGTTTTAGCTCCTGTCAGTCTAATCCACTGTCTTCTTGATGAAAGTGTTGGAGTGGGAGTGATAGTAGAACCCTTCATTGAGTCAGGTGACCACTTTTCTAGGCTCTTCTTTCTATATATGCTCTGGTTTGCTTTGTCCCAGAGAGAAGTCATCTGTTCACTTATTCAGGTTGCATACTTGACCAGGCACTGTGTTTATACTAGAAATGCAGCTGTGAACTAAGTCTGACATTATACTCTTCATTATGGGGTCTGTACTTCAGTGTGGAGAGACAGAAAGTAACCAATCATGTGAATATATATGAACACACCTTTGATACTTAGGAGGTAGAGGCAGGTGGATCTCTTTGAGTTGAGGCCAGCCTAGTCTACATACAGTAAGTTTCAAGACATCTAGGAAGACATAAAATAGAGACCCTGTCTCAAAAAAAAAAAATCCTCTTACTCTGTAAGAGTAGAGAATTGGGAAACTTGTTCTGGAGGTGCCAATATAGGCAAGGGCTGGATGGTGGGGGAAAATGGGGAATTTTACAGAGATGAAAGATCAGTGAATGTGAAAGTAGGCTTTACTGGGTATGTGGGCAGGAACAATAATTCTGTGGGTTGAACTGTGTGATCTGGATGAAGGTTGGTATGATCCATCACACTTGTAATGTTAATGTTTCAGTTTTCTACTTTTAGTTTTTAACTTTTTTGTATTATGATATGTTGGTGTAGTTTTAATGTCAGTACCTAAGGGGATGTTAGTCCTAAGTTTCTTAGCAACTATACTTTCTTTAGGGTGCGTTCCATATTAAGCTGACCTTGTAGTTTTGTCTAAGAGGTAGTGCTAAGCCTAGGCTATGGTTGCTTACATGAAGTCAGTCCTGTATTCCTACACAATGGAAGGATTGCTTATAGATGTCGCCATGTCTGAATACACTGCCCTTTCCCATTGCCTAGCCTGAGATGTCAGTCATTGCTGTACCTGAGGCTGTTCAAACTGAAGAAGGAGAATGCTCTGAAGTATTCCAAGACACTGACCGAACACCTGAAGGTAAATAAATATGTGTAATAGAGTCTATTGCCTAGGAGACAAACTGTGCAAACCTTCCCATCCCTGTCCCAGAGATGCTCTCATATTTAGGTAAAACATAACAAGAGATGAGCGAGCAAACTACTGCCTGAAAATTCTCAGATAATGTTAGTGCTTTCTTGAAAAAGCCTTCAAATGTGTATATTGGATTACAGAACTTTTTTTTTTTTTTTTTTGGTTTTTTGAGACAGGGTTTCTCTGTGTAGCTTTGTGCCTTTCCTGGAACTCACTTGGTAGCCCAGGCTGGCCTCGAACTCACAGAGATCCGCCTGCCTCTGCCTCCCAAGTGCTGGGATTAAAGGCGTGCGCCACCACCGCCCGGCGGATTACAGAACTTTTATAGCTGCATACAGCAGCCATATCTATCCTCAGAAATGTTCTTTGCATTTTCACCTCTAACCCTCATCAGATTGTTATCTTGTTTTGTTTTGTTCCTTACATTACTGGTGACTGAACCTAGGGCTTGTACATGCTAAGCGAGTTTCCAACCACCACACATCTAACCCAGACAAAGTTATTGTAGTTTCCTAAAATGTCTTTAAAAAAAAAAAAAAAATTCAAGCCAGTACCATATAAATTCTCCACAAACCCTGCTGTATTTAGGACTTTAGAACCCCTCCATAACTCACTGTTGCCTAGAGGCTCAAGGCCTGGCCTCAAGGGTCTGTTATTTCTTGCCTAAACTCCTTAGACAACCTAGATGAGTCATGCAGGTTTTCTTTTCTGTCTTTTTTGTTTATACTATGACTTGTTTCCTTGTGTCTTTTTTGTTTCCTTTCATCCATCTCTGCTACTTATTGTTTCTTTGTGTCATCTTTGAAGTCGTCTAGAACAACCTAGCTTTCATTTAATAACTTCTTTCTGTTACACACACACACACACACTTTGTTTTTAAAAATTTTTTGAGCTGGAGAGATGGCTTAGTGGTTAAGAGTACTGACTGCCCTCTCCAAAGACCAGGTTTGCTGGGCGTTAGTGGCTCACTAACCACTCACACCGTTAATTCCAGCACTCAGGAAGCAGAGGCAGGTGGATCTCTGAATGTGAGGCCAGCCTGAGTGAATTCCAGGACACCCAGGGCTACACAGAGAAACCCTGTCTCGGGGGGGAAAAAATCCAAAAAACCTGGGTTCGATTCCCAGGATCTACATGGCCACTTACAACTGTCTATGTTCCACAGGATCTGACACCCCCTTCTGGCCTCTGAGGGTACCAGGAATGCATGTAATACACAGATATACATAAAGACAAAAACACCTGTACACACAAAAAATATTAAAACATTTAAAGATTTATTGTGTGTGTGTGTCCGTGTGTCCGTGTCCATGTGTGTCCGTCCCCATTGTTCCCAGAAGCTAGAGGAAGACGTAGATCCCCTGGAGCCCTGGAGCTAGAGTGAACTACCTAACTTGGGTGCTGGGATCCAAACCCAGGTCCTCTGGAAGAGCAACAGTTGCTCTTAACTACTGAGCCATCTCTCCAGCCCCATTCTTTTCTGAGATAGAATCTCATGTACTCTAAACTGACCTCAAACTGGCTGGGTAGCCAAGGATGATTTTAAAGTTCTGAAGATCAACCCTAGCACAATACTTTGGAAGATATCGAGTGCGTGCGTGTGTGGTGTGTGTGTGTGTGTGTGTAATATTGCTGTTAAATAAATTTATTTTTCCTTGCAGAATTCTTACAGTAATTCTCAAGCACCTTCACCTGGCTTGGGGAGGTAGGTACGATTTTGTTCTCTGAAATATTTTTGGTAAATTTATTTGTGGATCAGAGTAGAATGGATAAAAAAGTAATTGCTACTTTTAAAAGATTAAAATCTCTAGTAAAGTATTTAAAAATTTTATTTTTTGATGTTTAGAATTGAACCTGGGTGTTTTGCATGCTCTCCCACTGAGTTACAGTTCTAGTAACTTAAAATATAATGGACATAATTCTTAAAATGTTTGAAATGAGACATGCCACCAACAGATGTCTGAGTTCGTTTTTTGGTTTGGTTTGGTTCTCCCCTTCTACCATGTAAGTTCCTGGGATGGTACTTAGGTTGTCAGGCTTGGTGGCAAGCCCCCTTACCCCTGAGTCATCTCACTAGCCCCCAGATAGCTTGAGTTTTTAACATGACCTCACTTCTTCTCAGTTTGATTTTCACGGTTATTTAGACTTGTTACTGTGGTTTTTAACTTCACTAAGATCTTGGCATTGCCAGAGTATAGTGGCATGGTTGTGATTTATCTTCAATTACCACATTAGCCCTTCCCAACTACACCCCAAAACAGAACAAACACTGTGCAACCTCTTACATTTTCTGAGTCTATTTGTTGAGTTCTTATGTTGATATGAGTTGGCATTCCATCTTATTTTCCCTTGTCTACCCATCCCCAGGGCTGAGGTAAAACCCAGAGCCTTTTGCGTGCTAAGCAAGTGCACTCCCACTGAGCAGTGTCCTCAGCCTGTTTATTTGTTTGTTTGTTTGTTTGTTTAGGTTTTTCGAGACAAGGTTTCTCTGTGTAGTTTTGGTGCCTGTCCTGGATCTCGCTCTGTAGACCAGGCTGGCCCAGGATGGCCTTCCGGCCTGTAGTATGCTGATTTTGTAGTGCTCACGATATGTGTGTGAATAAGCATCCTGTCTCTCTTTGTGTGTAGCAAAGCCGTTGGGATGCCCTCTCCTGTTTCTCCAAAGCTGTCACCAGGCAATTCTGGAAGTTATTCTTCTGGGGGCAGTAGTGCCTCAGCAAGTGGTTCTTCAGTGACCATTCCACAGAAGATCCACCAGATGGCAGCAAGCTACGTCCAGGTTACTTCTAACTTCCTCTATGCCACTGAAATTTGGGACCAAGCTGAACAGCTTTCCAAAGAACAAAAAGGTTTGTTGGGCTCTGGATAAACTTTGAGGATGGGATTGTTAAAAGAAACTTCTGTGATTTAGTTAACTATGTGGAGAACATTTACTTTATTTCATGGTTTAGAAGGAATTATAATCAATTTGCTAATAGCATCCTTTGACTAGCTGCATACTAAATGTGACTAGACATGATTAAAAATACCCTTGGACTGTGCATGGCTCCCTGTTAGATTTCTTGCCCAGCATGCATAAGGCCCTGGGTTTGGTCCCTAGTATGAAGGACAGGGAATGGATGGACTAATGTGTGAGAAGGGACACAGACAAACAGCTCTTGTAGTGCTGGTGACATGCTAAACTGGAAGTAGTTCTTGATGTGAGACAAATATGCATCTATTCTGGCAGGTTGACTGTATCTCAGTAGGCAGCACCTTGTCCACTATCAATTTTCCCTCATAGTCTCAACTATACCTTAAACAGTACAATAGTTGGGTCTGCTAGATGGTTCAGTAGGTAAAGGTGCTTGCCACCAACCCATAGTTCAAGCCTAGGACCCACTTGGTGGAAGGAGAGAACTGGCTCCACAGAGTTTTCCTCTGACTCAACACAGTACACTGTGATACATGCACAGACATACAGACAGATAAATGTAAAAGAGAGAACCATTAAAAATTACAGCAGTTGGATTTCTTTCATATAGGATCCAGGCTAGGTCTGTCTAAATGCTACATTTTGTTAGTCTCTTAAGGAGTCCTCTCTACCTATTCCCCTCATTTGGCCATGTCATTGATGTTGAGAAGAAATGAAGCATAGACTATGTTTCATTCTGCATTTGACTGGGAACGTCCTCATACTGTCATTGCATTTGCTCTTCTGTCTCTCTTTTTTTTTTTTTTTTTTTTTTTGGTTTTTCGAGACAGGGTTTCTCTGTGTAGTTTTGTGCCTTTCCTGGAACTCACTTTGTAGACCAGGCTGGCCTTGAACTCACAAAGATCCGCCTGCCTCTGCCTCCCAAGTGCTGGGATTAAAGGCGTGGGCCACCACCGCCGGCTCTTCTGTTTCTTTATTTCCCTTTTATTGATTAGATTAGTTCAGTATTTAGATAATATATATTCTAGGTTGTGCATCTTTTTAGGATACACCTAGTTATCTAAAGTATTTACCCTTTATTGATGTTCAGATTCGTTAGACCCGAGCCAGGCAGTGGTGGCACATGCCTTTAATCCCAGCACTAGAGAGGCAGAGGCAGGCAGATCTCTGAGTTCGAGGCCAACCTGGTCTACAAAGTGAGTTCCAGGACTTCCAGAGCTTTTACACAGAGAAACCTTGTCTCAAAATAAATAAACAACAAAAACCCCAAATAAATAGTAAGTAAGTAAGTAAAGTAAGTAAGATTCATCAGACCTGGGCATGGGAAGTAGACCTATAGTCTCAGAACTTGGAAGACTGAGGCAGAAGGATCACAAGTTGGAAGCCAGTCTGAACTACATGGCAAGACCCTGTTTTTAAAGAAAAAAAACTTTGTTATAATTTTTAAGGTCCATAGGTTATTTATGTAGTGTCACTCTGATGAGCATGATACAACATTTCCTATTAAACTTTAACTTACACTTTTGACATCCATTATGATCATTGCCTAGGTCCATTGTTAGGAGATAGAAAATTCATTATGGACCAGGCATGGTAGTGCCTGCCTGTGATTCCAGCAGTTGGGCGCAGAAGCAGTGAGGATCAAGAGTTTGAGGTCATCAGTTACATAAGGAGTTCAGGCTAGCCTATGCTATTTGAAACCCTATCCCAGAGGAAAAAGGGAATGGAAAACCACCAGCAGTATTCTGCTCTGCATTCCTTTTGCATTTCTTAGTTGGAATTTTTGTAGAGACATTTCACCTCAGGTGTCTGATCACTTCTTGCCTTGTTTGGTTAGTGTGTAATTGTTTAACAACCTTTTTTTTCTCTGCATGTCTAAAAGCTTTCAGAAGTATCCAAGTACCGCATCCCTGTTTGCTTCCAAAACTGCAGTGGAGTCAAATCCTAGGATCTTGTCCTTTCTTCTCATTTGTGCCTGCCTGACATGAGCCTTTTTCGTTCATGTGGGAAGAATACTTTTATTTCTATCCTTTAAAAAGAAGGGATTTATCTAGTTCCAGGACAGGCTCCAAAGCTACACAGAGAAACCCTGTCACAAAAAAAAAAAAAAAAAAAAAAAGAAGAAGGGATTTATTAGTGGTGCATAGCATCTGATTATAGCAGAAAGGTTGGTTATAAACTGTCAGTGGAGCTACACAGGGGCCAGTGGGGGAAGCATGCGAAGACTATTTCCTCTTTCTTTTCTTTCTTTCTCTCTTCCTTCCTTCTTTCCTTCCTTCCTTCCTTCCTTCCTTCCTTCCTTCCTCCCTCCCTCCCTCCCTCCCTCCCTCTCTTTCTTTCGGTTTTTTGAGACAGGGTTTCTCTGCACCTTTCCTGGAACTCACTTGGTAGCCCAGGCTGGCCTCGAACTCACAGAGATCCACCTGGCTCTGCCTCCGAATGCTGGGATTAAAGGCCTGTTTCCTCTTTCTACTACTGCTTGCACAGACATAACATGGACAGAGTGCTTTGAGTAACCCAGTGGGGGCGCTGCACGTGTGCTGGGGGGACTCCACTTTAATGTAATAGCAGTTAACCATTGTCATCACTGGAACTTCAGTTTGGAGTTCATAACTGTACCTTCTGTTTAAACTGATGCATGACTTCAGGAACTTGAGAGATCATAGAGGCCTTTAATGTGAGAGACATGCTGTTTTACAGAAAACCTGTGATTCAAAATAATATGTGATGCTTACTGACTGTTTTGAATTTTCTAGAATTCTTTGCTGAACTGGACAAAGTCATGGGCCCTCTCATCTTTAATGCAAGCATCATGACAGATCTGGCTCGTTACACCCGGCAGGGACTGCATTGGCTTCGGCAGGATGCCAAGTTGATATCTTGAACTGAACATATTCTCGTTGCCTCTGATTTTTTCCACAACACTGTGTCACATCACAAAGGAAAACTGCCATAACACACCACCTAGTCGACACTAAGAATGAGGAATGGTTTTCTCCTTTTTGGTTTATACTGTTGTTTCTTATAACCCAAAGCCATCATATCAATTGACCCTTCCAATATTCCCAATGTGACAAGTATTTAAATGCTTCTAAACCTGCAGTACATCAGCAAGATGGTTTCAGTAATTGGAATTCCAGTTACAATTCATAAATAATCAAGTAAAATTCTATTTATTTTCATTTTTTTCAAGTTCCCAGATTGGAGCTTGTTTAAGCCTAATTATTCCTGCCTATAAATTTATTCTGTTGAATATTTAGCATAAATTTAATGTAGGCATTTTATTTATATATTTGGGGAGTTGTGTTACTTAATGTCTTCTAAGATAAGAGTTGGCTTGTCCAAGACAGGACATGTTCTTTCTACAGCTAATTACCTGATGTTATTTCAAGTCTTGCTACAGTTTTACTATGGTAGGACGTATGCTTGGTATAAGGATGCTCTTCCACATGGAAAAAGTCACTTAAATATGAGTGGCATTCTACATGGGTGCAAAAATGAAGTGGGTCTGGTTTGATATGCATTATTTCAAAACTGTGAATGTGTGTTAGGAACACTAGCAATCACAAGGTGACTACGGTGCATCTAATGCATTACAGCAAAGCAGATAGACTTGCTGGGGAAGCACATCATACTGAATGGCTTCACAAAGGACAATCTAACTGTGGGTTATTAAAACCTTGGATTCTTTGTTTTGTTTTGTTTTATACTCATTTGACACTTAATTGAAGCAGAGTAAGTTACTCCTAAAAACAAACAGAAAACGGTGATCCAGTTTCTGAAGGTTGCAGCCTGTTTCGTTGGTAATGGTTGAAGGTTGAAGTCTGCAGATCTCCCCTATGGTGGAGAGATTATGATGCTCAGATATGACCATGCAGTAACTGGAGCTCGGAAGGAGGTGTCCCAACGTCTAATGTGGAGATGATGAATTTCTCTTTCCGAAGACCCTCATCAGTGATGTATGCTTCTGATGGGATCTGAAAACTCACACTAGCTTCTGGGCGTGGTTGTGCATGCCTGTAATCCCAGCACTGGGTATTGGTGACAGAAGGATCAGAAGTTCAGGGTCATCCTCAGGCTACATAAAGCTAGGCAGTGAGTTTGGGGCTAGCCTGGGCTACATGAGGCCTTGTTACATTAAAAAAAAGAAAAAGAAAATTCATACTAGAAAAGTACCTAACTTGGCTCAGTATGAGCTCTCTTGGAAAGGGGAAAATAATAGGGGTAGTGCTTAGGAAGCCAGCTCTGTAACAATTCCTTATCAAACTACTGTTCCCAACAAGGTGCGTATAGCAGTGAAGGATGAGGGATGTCTCTCTTCCTCTATACTTCTTTTTAATGACCCCGTCATGTCTGGTGTGCCTTAAATCTTAACTTTTAATGATAACTCTATGGATTGTTTACAGATAAAGTTTTACGCTGGGACCAGATTAGCCGTTCATGGTTGGTCCTCCACAATAATAATTTTAAATTCTCTTTGATTTTAAATCTTCCTTTAGAGTCACATTAAGACAGATTCCCTCAGAAAAGCTAGTGCTTTGGTACCTGACTTAGTATAATCAATTGGCTATAATGCTGCTTCAGAAAATGGCTTTTCCTTCTCATTCCAAAAATCCATCCAATTGGGGAGAAAATTCCCTATTATTAGGAGATGATTGTTCAGCTTGAAATGGGGAAGGGGAAGAGAGATAGCATATCCTCACATGCAGTGGTGTCGTGAATCCTCTCTTCTAGTCTCTCTCACCACCTGTTTCTGAAGATAGTGAACCTTGCCCTGCAGTCTCATATTTACAGAGCTTAACTGCTTTGTACCTCATTATTCTTACATGCCGTTGAGGGTTGGTGTCTACAGCTTATGCTGAATTTCACATGTTTCCCTTGGAGAAATTGCCTCTGATACCTTGCTAATTTAATTGTAGTGTGTTTAAGGAATACTTTTTCTTCAGAGGCCATTGTCTCCTCTCTTGTGCTAGTGACTTCCATGGTCTAACAGTTGTCTGTCCTGTCCTGTCCTGTCCTGTCCTGTCCTTCTCTCTCACTCTGGCTCCTTAACTTCAGCGAGGTCTTGGAAGTGGAACAAGCGCCCTCTGGGCTTTTAGACTTCAGCAGCTGCAGTGCTGGCCTCTGCTTTCCAGCTCTGGTCTGTGTGTCCTGCTAGGCGGCCAGCACATTCTGGAGTGACACTGGTGTCATGTTAAAGCAGAGTTTCCACATGTTTTATGGTGCTGCTTTAAGATATTTTCTCTTTAAAACTGTCAGTTCTTGGAGAATGAAATTGTTAAGCCTTTTGTTGTGGAGGATTTTCCCCACCAGTTAGAAATGGGCAATGGATCAAAATCCGATCCTAGGTGATTGAATTTTGATGTCATAGTGTGTGAGAATACAGTCTCTTCTTTCTCTGTGTCTCTTTACAAACGTTTTGTCTTAGTCATGTCCAGCACATACCTTGACTCCTTTACAAGTGACCATTCCTCCCTTCTCAGTAGGTGCCCTCAGTGGTTTTTAGCCATTTAAAACTGATTTGACAAGTGGCTACAAACTTAGTCTGAAACTTGTATTCAGTGTATAGTTAGTAATAGGAATAGCAACTATCTTTAATACTCAGTTCACTGCTCTGAAGATCACACTCCTATGCCAGGAGGCAGCAGCATGCACCGTTAGACTCTGGACAAGCATCCCACACGATTTCAGTGATAAAACTGTCACAGTAGTCCTGCCTGGGAGAGGCTGGGCTGTGGGGAGCAGTCCCCTCTGGGCATTCAAGATTACACAGCCTAGCCCATGCCCCATTCTGGCTGGAGAACACCAGCCCTTTCCTTGCTCAGTGACACCTTTTTCTGGGCAAGAAGCTATGAAGTCACTTTAATATCAGTGATTCTTCAAATGTATTCACAGATATAGCTGCTGAAGGGAGAAGATTGACCACTACTGATTTAATTCTCCAATGTAAAAGCAATTCAGAGTAATGTGTGCACGTGCCCGCACTTGCCTGTTTTTCTGGGAAGCTCTTGCACTAGGGAGTTATAGGCATCTGGGCTGCACTTTGAATGACACACTTGTGGCTTTAGAGTAGCCGTTGTTGTTTTTGTTGTTTTGTCTTGTTTTTAATTGTTCTTTGTTTCTTTTCATTAAAGATTTAATTGGCTAGATTAGGCAGCATCATTTGTATTTAACCACTGAAACTTTGGTACATTGATGTTTAATGAATGAGCTTGCATTGTGTAGCCATGGCCTACAAAGGTTCTTGTCAGAAGTACAAGCGCTGCCTGAGGCCAGTGCTCAGAGGAGTTTGTAGTGCAGCCGATGAGAGCTCCATCAGAGGATGCCTAGCTCAGTTGAGAAGGGAGATGCTGTGCACTCTTCTAGGTCTGAGGGTATGCAACTTTGAATCTTAAAATTATGTACACATACACACTTTATATATATGTACGTATGTATGTATGAAAACATGGAATTAGTTTGTCAAAATGTGTGTGTTTAGTATTTTAGCTTAGTGCAACTATTTCCACATTATTTATTAAATTGATCTAAGACACTTTGTTCTTGGCACCTTGAATATTAACATTCAAGGGTGCAATGTGTATTCCTTTAGATTGTTAAAGCTTATTACTATGATTTGTAGTAAATTAACTTTGAAATATATCTGAGCCCTTCTGTAGTGTAATAGGGCTCTTACAGGGTGGGAAAGATGTTCATTTTCCAATAGCTAAGTGAACAAAATGGCTCCATTATATATTTTGATTTATGGGAGTCTATGGGTGTCTGGGCCCCAAGAACATCTACTGAGGCTGACTGTTTTAGGCCGGGGGTGGTGATGGGTGGATGAGACCTAAGTGACTGGGGAGCCAGAGCACCTTGTTCAAGTCTGCAGACTCCTGTAACTCATAGTCCCCTAGGGTGTGGAATACAAATCCCTTCCATCTTCACATCTCAGTTGGAGAGGCAGACTTCTTTCCCAGTAGTATTGCACACCTACTGTTGCTGTGAGTAAAATCAGCAGAAAAAATTATGATTGAGTGACTGGGAAGATGCACTGGTCAGGCCCAGTTGCCACATTTGTGAATGTACCTTTCACATACTTAACAGTGGAGGCATTCAGCTTCGACTTTCAGACCCTGAAACCAAGCCAGCAAGTAACATAAGTCCTTAAGGTTAGAGAAGGCCAGGAGTGCTGGTCATACCCTGAGGCAAAGGTCAGCCTTTGCTGGGTAGTGAGCCTGAGCGACTGAGACCCACTCTCCAAGAATAAATACATTTGGAAGTCATTCAGTGAACCCGTTGTGGTGGTGCGTGCTTTAATCTAGCACTTGGACTATCAGTTTGAGCCCAGCACGCACTACCTAGAGGGACCCTGTGGGGAGAAGCGGAGTGGAGTAAGAGGACTGACTGGTCTGCAGAACTCCTGCAGTTCTCGTCAACTAAACCCAGGGTTCATTAACAAGAACTTGCTGTCTCCAGAGCAGGGCATGGAAACAGAAGCTACATCTGTCTTGTGGATGGAATTTAGAAAAGGCGTTGGGGTGAAGTCTCAACTAAGTCAGAGGGCTCAGCTCAAATAGCTAATTTTGAAGAAGTTGATTTTCAGAAATGTCCGCATGCGCCTCTCTCCTTGCTGCCGTTGCTCAGCTGAACTCATCATCCTTAAACACGGAGAAGCTCGCAGATGAGTGTGGACAAGCTCCCACCCAGAAATCCTAGTAACACTTGGCTTTGACCTTGCTGCTTCTGTGTTAGGTTTCTTCTCAGCTTTTAGCCACTGGGGTTTCTGCCTGTTCTGTACCTCTCTGGAAGACATCAGTTTGGAAGGGCTGTCTTTCAAACCAATGCCATGGCTTCTGTATTGTGGAGCTTGTTGTCGTCTCAGAGGTGTCCCCATTATGCACACACCTGGCACATCACTGACATGAGCAGTCAACAGTACTGGGGGGTGGGGCTCACCAACAGCGCTGGCTCACTTGGCAGGGCCCGCAAAGGCCACACTTGAGGGCCAGATGCCCAGTTGGTAAGCACAGTTAGGGAAATTTCTACCTAGCCTCCGTTTTGAATGATTTTGAGAAATTTTATATATGGAGGATGGAAATTCTTATATATTTATTGAAGATCTTTTTATTTGAAATTAAAATCGTTTGGTAAATAATGGTTTGCTATTTGGGGAGGGTTCTGGAGGGAAGGTAACATGATTGATGAAGTACAGGCCTATTGCCTCTGCAGAAAGGCGCCGTGGCTGACAGGAGGCCTTCATCTTGTACATGATCCAATCTTTGTCTTACGTTTATTTTATCCAAAACATCTAGGCATCTGACACTTTCAACCAAAATTTCAATTGTATACTGTGATTTTTATTTGTTGCAATACATTAAAATTCAGAGGTACTTTGGGGCTCAAAAGCTAGAATTTCTAAGTCAGTATGTGCATTTCACATAATAAGCTGTTAATGGTGAGCAAAGTATTATATACTAACTAGATTTTCCACATCTGTATAGTATATTATATGTATTTTGTGGTATTGAGATTATAGAAAGTTTAGAGTGTCAAACATGCGTTTAATGTGTATTTTTAAACAAATTTATGGCAATTAAAATATTTGGAAACAAGGGTATCACATTTCAATTTGTAAAACTTTTTAACTCTACTGTGTCATTACGATGCTTTGTATAATGCCAAACCATAGCTGGAGAAACTAAGTTTAATAAATATCAGATAGCTTTTCTGTATAACGTTTATACGCATGTGCTCTCACTTCTTCAGGTCCTACTGTGACCTTCTCCTGGAGTTGCTCTTTTGTATCTTACTCTGTAAAGGTCTTGTCCCACCAGCACAGGTCTCATTTTCTGGTTACAGAAATTTTGGACTTATGGCTATGGGTCCTTGTCCATCTATCTCAATTGTCCTGCACCATTGGCTCTTCAGTCCTTTATTTATGCTCTAAGACATAGGCTATTATTGTTCCATTCATTACTTATGTATACTATTTATTTGCTGGATTTTGTTTTTCTGAGACGGGGTCTCACTTTGTATCCCTGGCTAGACTGGAATTCATTATATAGACCTGGCTGGCCTTGACCCAACAAAGATCTACCTGCCTCTGCCTCCACCTCCCTGGTATTGGGATTAAAGGCATGTTCCACCATGCCCAGCTTATTTTTTTTATTAAATCAGACTTTTCTTTGGTTTCTGTTTTATGTTCATAAAGCTGTAGACAACTTTTGCACATCCTCAGGTGACACATGCCAGCCTGAAGAGTTCTTTGCAGAGTAAAGAGCCATGATCTGATCTGCGGAGCTGACTGTTGTTAAGCTTATCATGCTCGGTATAAGATTCTTTGAAGAGTGAGTGTTCTCCACACCTCCCAGATGGAGCAGTACCACCCGTTAGATAGTGCTGTTTCCTATAAGGTATGAAATGAGTCAAGTGTCAATTCCAGACTGCCAGAATTTGGATTTGAGACATTTAATAGTATTTGTAGAAAAATAAACTCTGACAAACTTATTTACGTCTATGTACAAACCAACAACATTCTAAGAAGAAATGGAGGCCAGTTTAAAGCAAGCATCTGTCTTTAAATATTAAAAACACAAGATTGCTTCACTTAAGTATCTCCAGCCCAAATGCAGTTAACCAATATTCCACAGAACGGAGCACTGTTGGAGTTGACTTTTCCCCTGGTGTGAACATCACTCCTGGGCCACACTTAAAGAACAGCGTCTTTTTCTAGGGGGAGGGGGCGGGAGAAAAGAAGTGTTTAAGATCGGATGTAGACCTAAGGTGCCCCAGGCCACTTCTGCTGCCTCCACTGTCCCTGGTTTCATCTGCCCAGTGTTAGGAATCTGAATGGTACTTGGCTGTCAAGGAACTCCCCTACATGGAACTTGCAGCTTCATCCCTATGCGACCCCCCCATCCCCTGTCTCAGCTTTACCCTCGGATCTCTGTTTTCTGATCTCACCTCTCCCAGCTTCCCAGAGCTCTCTTGCCCACCCTGCACCCAGGTTTGTCAAATACCTGCACAGTCTTGTGATACACTCCGAATCATCCCGACATGAAGCGCCGATGGGCCTGAGGGAAACCCCTCTCCAAAATGGGGTCATTCTCCGGGATCTTTTTGCTGAACTCAGTTCTGGTACTGGGGAGCTATTGACCTGCAGAGCAAAGGCATATCCACTTCAGGTGGGGAAGCACCCACCCTCTGCTGCATACCCAGGTTGCAGGAGGTTTAACAGCATTTCTCAGGGCTGAGACTCTTGGACTTTGAATTCCACTGCTGCTACTATGTCCCACACACATGTCTTCCCTTGCTTACCTGGCCCAGCAGCAGCAGGCAAGTCATGAGCACCACGAAGAGTTTGAGCAGTAACATCTTGGCAAAAGGAAGATGCTGGAGCCTGAAAGCCGGGGGCAGTTCCCGTTTCCTTTTATAGACTGACATCTATCTGCCTTTCTCATGGTTGCCAGGTGAGGTAGGGGCAAAGTTTGTTTGTAATCAGGATCGATTTAATAGGTTAATGTGTACCCAAAGAATGTAATCCAGGGCTACACTTCAGGCACATTGCACTTACTGATCCCTCATCTGGACTTTGATGATGTTGCTGGTCTGGACCCTTACACCCATCTTATCAGAAATCAGCATTGTCCGACTTCCCTCTGAAAGCCAGGAACTTGGCCATACTTCTAAAATAGCAGGCTAGGGGTTTAACAGTGAGGGCAAGTATGATGTCCTGGGTTCAATTCCAGAACCAAGAAAAAGTCCTAAAATATCACTGTGAGATGGTTGTAATCAAAACAGGATTCTTATAAAGTCTTCAGAAGTAATATTGACCCCTGAGCTTTTCTAGGCAAAAAACCACTGACCTGCTGTGTACAGGCCATTGGATGTGGCCCTCTGTTCCTTCTGTGGGGTCCTTAAGCAGACAGTCCGTCTACAGTGTCCAGTTCCCCCGTTCATAAAGAGGGGCTGTCATCCTACCAATGTGCACCACCATCTTAGTGAAGACCTGGCTGTGAAGAACGCAAACTCTACCCTTCCTCCAGGATACAGGCAATGGACTGCCGCTTGAACCACAGATGTACTGAATGAATAGATTTTTGTTTTTAAGAACACATGAGTGAGGAGGTAGCAGAAGCTCTTAAATCTCTGTCGTTACAGTTTATGTCCTGACAATACCAAATGAATCATGGGCTTTATCCTTAGTAGTTAACTGGCGCTTCGGCAGAGCGCTTCCTTCCAGCAGCCTCAGCAGCAGGTGTTAGGCTAAGTCTGAAGCCCAAACATCCACTGGCTTTAGTAGTAATCTCTGTGGGTTCCTAGATTAACACTCAACTGTACTGATGTGAGTAGTTATGGGTACTATGTGACCAGACCTTTGATTTTGAGAACATCTCACAACATAGCCCAGGCTGGCCCAATTTCACAGTCCCACCCTGATCTTGGATGTGGACCACCACACCCAGCCATGGGTATTTTAATAAGTTTGAGGGAGAAAGCTGAATTCAAATTCAGGACATGTATAAGAGCTTAGATCTCCCTGTGACCATAAGACACCACACACACACACACAAATTACAAATAGATTCTCTCTCCCTGGTCTGTATCTCACGGATAACCCTTCCCAAGGCTCTTCTCATCTTCATGATTGGACATTTGGACAAAAGCCTGTTTTTGTTTCTTTGTCCCAAGCAAAAATGGAGGGACTGCTGCTGTGCCAAAGGTAGCAGCATGGTCACCAATCCCGAGGCAAAGCAAGTGTAGCTACTTGCCAAGGGAGAAGTGTGCTAGACTTCAGAGCTGGGAAGGGGTGGGATTCAACTGCAGATCTGTCTGCCCTGGTTCCAGTCCTCTGTAGAAAATGGAAGTCTGGTGGGGAGCTCCACAGTACAAGAGTTGCTGAGTAGACAGTCCACCAGTTCAGGACCAGTTCAGCAGCCCCCCTCCTGCCCCATGAGGTTATATACTGAATGACCTCAAGTAGGAGCCTCAGTGGGAACTTTGCAGAGTTGGGGAGAAGCTCTTAGCGGCCCAGTGAACATTGAGTAAGAACACCGATGTGATTAGATAAGCAAGACTGAACAACGTGTGTCCTAGCAGCAGTTGGGCCTGGGACTCGGTGCCAGTCTCTCCTTCACCAGCTCTCAGTGGCAGGTAACATCCAAAAGATGGCTCTTCTCCCGGCTCCCATTTCTGCTGTCCTTTTCCTTGAGCAGAATCAAGGTAGCCTTTTGTGTCGTGTCTAAAGCTCATCACAGCCCAGTCAAGGGAAGGAGCACAGGAAAAAGATGATTAATTCTCATGAGTACAACACTGGTCAAGGCCCCCAGATTCAGGCCACCTGCAGGCCAGCTCTCTTTCCCAAGGAATGACTTGTTAGGGGCAAGTTACTAAACATGTAAACAAAACCTGTAGTTGTATTTAAAGGAAATGTGGGAGCTGGAAGTTGTATTTAAAGGAAAAGTAGCCCAGTGGTCAGGTATTTGTCTAGTCTGTGCAAGGCTCTGGATCTTATCCCTAGTACTAAAGAGAAACTCCTCTCTCAGGCTTTGGGAGGTGACACAGCAACTAAGCCCTCGGCAGAATTGCCACTTATCCACAGCCATGGTATACCTTGCCTGTGAAAAACGACACTGTGCCTGAAATTCAAACAATCCAGCTGTTCTCTCCTGGCAAGGATGCTGTTAAATGACTGAAGAGCTACAAGCTCCTTCCTCCAGTTCACAGGCCTCAGCTGCCCGGATTTCAGCTGTAAGGCAAGAACTTTTGACCAGGAGGCAGCAGCTGCAGACTGCGAAGTCTGACCACAGGCCAGCCCTTCCCTCTTCAGGGTTAGTCTTCTGTTCCGACAGTGAGATGAGAGGCGGCCTCGGGCCTCATGGGCACATCTGGGGATTCAAATGACTAATTTACAAGAAGAGAAAGACAAACAGGTTTGCTAGCAAGAGTCTGCTCACGCCAGGTACAACCCCAGGGATATTGAGGGGAAAGTGCCAGAATGAAACAGGAGAAAGGGTAGAGACACACGGGTGTCTGGATGCGTGCAGGGTGGAGACGGGATCATTAAGGTTTGGCGGTAATGGGACACTTTTGTGTTGTCCCTGAACAGGGGGTGCCTAATAAAAGATGAAAGACTTGGAAATGGGAAAATGTTTCCAGGTAAAATTTCAACAAAGGGTCAAAGTGCATTTGTTTTTTTGGCTGGAACTGGCAGGTGTCTGGGCCTGTACTAGAGAGGCCCATGCCCTGACTACAATACCAGCAGAATGAAGAGAGCTCCCTTTCCCAGATTGCAGCCCATGGGGGGTGGAGGCGGGGGGGGGGGGGGACATGGGCTTTTCCAAAAGGAGTCAAGTGGAGCAAATGGTTGCATCACAGCAGCCGGAAGAGCAGTATCAGGCTGTGGGTATCTAAGACATGGGCCCAGAGCGCTATCTCTGTCCTTAAAAGGCTCGACTCAAGCTAGAGAGATGGCTCAGCTGGTAAAGTACTTGCCACACACACAGGAAGACCTAAGTTCAGATCACCAGCACCCACATAACCAACCAGGTGTGGCAGCAGCTCTGCGGTCCTCGCAGAGGAGGTGGAGAGGGGATCCCCGAGGCTCCATGGCCAGCTCGGCTAGCTTGACTCGATGAGGTTCAATGCCTTGTCTCAAAAAATAGTGGAGAGTGATAGAAGACGTCTGATGTCAACCTCCTGCCTGCACGTCCACGCGCGCACACGCACACACCGTGTGAACGGGGCGGGGTTGGGAGTGGGGTGATTCATGTTGTCCTCTATGAATCTCTACAAACAGAACAAGTCTCTAAAGAGTCAGTCACTGTCTGGGCACCCCTCACACAGCTGGGCCCTCGGCCCTCAAGCTCAACGGGGGAACTGTGAGGGACAGGCTGAAGGCGGCCTTTCACCATCTCAGCGGTCAGCAGCAGAGCGTCTGACCATCAAAGCACTTACAGCAGGGTCCCCTCAGCACTCCCGGGGTGGGAGGACCAGCTCTGCAGTCAAGGTCCCTGCCATCCAGGAGCGACGCTGGATCCCCGGTGAACTCAGATAAAGGTGCAACAGAGAACGGAGGACTTGTGACCTCACAAAGTTGTCCTCTGACCTCCAGATGCACACCGTGGCACATGGACACACGCATACAATAATATATATATTTTTTAAAGGTCAGACCAAGAGGTTCATCTCCTGCTGTGGGCTAAGAAAACTGAAGCTAGTCTTCTGAGCTGGTGTGTCCAAAGTCAAGACGGGTGCAGCTATGCGGCTATACCTCCACCTCCCCCCTCGGGGCCTGCAGCTTTCCTGTCTTTTTGTTTCTTTGTTTTGTTTTGTTTTGTTTTCTGAGTAGCCCTGGCTGTTTTTCAACTCCTGTAGGCCAGGCTGGCCTCAAACTCAGAGATCGCCTGCTTCTGCCTCCCAAGTGCTGGGATTAAAAGCGTGTACAACCAAGCCGGGCGGTGGTGGCACACTCTTTTAATCCCAGCACTCGGGAGGCAGAGGCAGGCGGATCTCTGTGAGTTTGAGGCCAGCCTGGTCTACAGAGCAAGACCCAGGACAGGTACCAAAACTACACAGAGAACCCCAGTCTTGAAAAAACCAAGGGGCGGGGGGGAATCGTGTGCAACCAGCACCCTGGTTTTATTTCAGTTTTTTTTTTCTTTTTTTAAAGATTTATTTAATGAGCATTGGTGTTTTGCCTGCATTTATGTTTGTGTGAGGGTGCTAGGTGCCCTGGAACTGGAATTACAGACGGTTGTGAGCTGCCATGTGGGTGCTGGGACTTGAACCTGGGTCTTCTGGAAGACCAGTCAGTGCTCTTAACCGCTGAGCCATCTCTCCAGCCCCTTATTTCAAATTCTTTGTGGTTTTCGACAGGGTTTCTCTGTGTAGCCTTGGCTGTCCTGGAACTCACTATGTAGACCAGGCTGACCTCAAACTTGCAGAGATCCGCCTGCCTCTGCCTCCTGGGTGCTGGGATTAAAAGAGTGTGCCACCACTACTCAGCCTTATTTCAGATTCTTAAAGGAGTCTATGACCCATGGATTTTAAGGCCCAGGAGTAAATCTGGACAGAGCCAAACAGGGCACAACTGGACTGGATATGGGAACAACTCCGGGAACTTCCCTGGGCTCACTCATTTCAGCATCTCCACTACAGCTAACTCAAGCACTTTGTGTTGGCATATTTTATAGATAAGACATTTAAGGCTCCAGAAGTGACCATCTGAGGCAGTGATTCTCAACCTGTGGGTCTCAACCCCTTTTGGGAAGGGACCGAACAACCCTTTCACAGGGGTCACTTGAGACCACTGGGAAACACAGATATTTACACTATGAGACAGCAGCAAAAAGTTACATAGTAGCAATGAACACAATGTCATGGTCGGGGTCACAAGATGAGGAGCTGTATTAAAGGGTCACAGCATTAGGAAGGTTGAGAACCACTGGTTTAAGGGCAAGGGTATTAGACTACCAGACACATTTCTCATATCTGCCTCATAGTCCATGCAATTTCCAGATTTCCTGTTGTTGGAAGTCACTTGCTCTGAGGACTTCTGGCACCAGCTCCCAATCAGACATTGCACTATGAGTTGCTAGTCTGCAGCAGGTGTCCTTAGGTGATTGACAGGGCCAGAAGCTCAGGACTGCCAGGCATGCCCACCCTATCTTCTCCAGGTAAGGAGAAAATGGGGGCATCCAAAGACTCTATAGAGTCTTTTCAGACTTTGTGGTCCACAAACTAAAAGCCACCACCGGATTGGCTCCATGACACAGAGCCAACCATGGTCCCCTGACTGACACCTGCTGTAGCAGCCAAGGGACTGGATCATCGCCTTCCACAGCTGAAACCCCTCAGGCTGAGGAAGGCCTTCCTTGGGGAGGGCAGCAGCAGAGCACACACTGGTACCTGGCTCTACCAACCACTGTCATGTGATTCTGGGCAAAGTACTTCCACTGTGGTTCCTCATCAGCAAGGAGAGTCCAGTGCTTCCTTCAAAGGCTGCCGTGAGTTAAAAGTTCCTTAATGTGTCTAGGAAGAACACCTGACATCCTAATCACAGTGTCATTACTAGACTTTATAGTTATAATGGGAGCAGAGGGTTTAGAGCTGGCAATCCAGACCCCATTCAGGACTTGTGCTGGGAAAGGGATGGATCATCATGACTTGGATATTTGCTTGTAAAACAAAGTGGGGCCAGGCATGATGTCGAACACCATGACTTAGGAGGCAGAGGCGGAGGCAGTCGGATTTCATAGGTCATCCAGGTACACAGAGTGAGACCTTGTCTCAAATAAGCAAACCAAGTCACAACAGGAAAGCCCAGAAGTAGTTTATTGTGTCTTCAAGACACTACAATGTAGATTCCTCTCCCAGAGAAGGGTCTTTCAAAGGCAGGGAACTGGCATCCAGATGCGTCGCGGCTCACTTGTCATTTTCGTACATGGCTGGATTCTTCCTTTTGGACCGTTCAAACTCCTGGTTCCCCCATGTGTAGATCAGATAAAATGCTACGAATGCTGTAATAATCAAGACAGTAGGCTGTGAGCACATGGGACACATAATCTCTCGGCTCTTTTTTTTTGGGGGGGGGGGCGGGGTATGGTCTATGTAAACCAGACTGGCCTCAAATGAGAGGTCCACCTGTCTCTGTCATGCACCATTTTTGACTTTCAACTATTCTGCCTGCCCTTCTATTGTCCATAGCTTTTAACTTTTTTGTTTGGTTTGGAGACAGGGTTTCTCTGTGTAGTCTTGGTTGTCCTTGAACTCAGGGATCCTGCCTGTCTCTGCCTCCCAAGTGCTGGGATTACAGGTGTTTTTAGTTTTTTGAGACAAGGTCTCACTATTTAGCTGCCTGTCCTGAAACTAACTATGTAGACCAGGCTGGCCTCCAATTCACAGAGACCTACCTGCCTCTGCCTCCTGAGTGCTGGGATTAAAGGTGTGACTGCCCGGCCTTTGCTCTTCATATTTTATGGGTGTTTTACCTGTATGTGTGCTTTGTGTACCACATGCATGCCCCGTGACTGAGGTAATAAGAGAGTGTCTGATCCCATAGGACTGGAGTCACGGGTGGTTGTGAACCACCATATAGGTGCTGAGAACGGAACCAGATCCTCTGAAAGAGCAGCAAGTGCTTTAAACTGCTGAGGCGTCTCCAGCCCTATGTTTATGTTTTGTTTTGAGACAAGCTCTTACTATATGGCCCTTAGAGGCCTGAACTCTATGTAGACCAGGCTGGCCTCAAACTATGTAGATCCACCGTCTTCTGCCTCGGGAACGCTGGGATTAAATGCAGGCACCATCACGACCAGAAACTACTTTTAATAAGTGGTTAAAAATGGTTACAATTACACATCCATTTTATAAGCAAACAAAATTAAGACGTCAACCCAGAAGATATGGCCCTGACTTTCCTAGTCTCTCTCCTACTTAACACTAAATGAAAAATTTCATGAGATAACCGAAGATGAAATTCACCTAACATAAACTTCGCCGTTCTAAAAGTACATTTCAAGTTGCTCTGCTGGCGCATGCCTATAATCCCAGCCAGCAGTCCCCAGGGTAAGGCAGTAAAATCCCAAGTGTGAGGCCAGCCTGGGTTGCACAGCAAGCTCGGGCCTCGACCTCACCAAATCTAAGTGTACCTTCCACGGGTTCTTGGCATATCCCCAACGCCATGAAACCGTCAGCACAATCGGTGCATATCTAACCCAAGACATTGCATCAGCACTTCATCGCCGATAGTGGACAGCGATGACCTCAGAGGGAGACGCTGGAGTCATCCAAGTGACCTTAGGCCAGTCATTCCGATATGGGAAGAACTCCACGTCCGTGCAGGATGCTGGAAGGAAAGCTGCCCGTCCCTCCCCCGCCCGCCCCGCACTCACGCGGAGCCACGCGCAGGATGCACTCGCGAGTGCGGCGCAGCACGTTGGGGATGCCTTTGCTGAAGTAGTTTGGGAAGGCGCGCTGCTCAAAGGGCGACAGGCTGTAGGAGATCACGTGCCGAATATGCGCCAGCTTCCCAAACTCGCGGCCCATGGTGGCGGCGGCTCTGAGGAGGGAGGACACAAGCGTGGCTTAGGCCCACCGGGAACGCCCACTGCCCCGTACCGGCCCCTCGGCACCAGGTCACCTCTACCTACACCGCACTGAGCCGCCCGGCTTCAATGTCACTTCCGGGAGGAGCGGAAGCTGGTCCTGGAGGTCGTGAAGTCATTTCCGGGGACTACCATTTTCTTTCTGTCTCCAGGGGGAGACGCCGTTGACCAAAAGAGAAAATGGCCTGTGTGGGCGTGGCCTTCCGGGCGGGTGGGAGGGGCCCGGGGGGGCCTAGAGGCCAGGGGCGGGGCTTACAGGTGCAGAAAGAGGCATCTGGGTGGGGCTTAACGGGGCGTGTGTGCCATGCCGGGGCGTAGAAGGCGTGTGGGCGGGGCTTGGAAAGGAATGGGGTCTTGGTAGGTGCGTGGCCCGGGTTTTTGCGGAGCAATGGGTGGGGCTTAGGTGGATATATCGGCGAGGTTCAGGCCTAGAGGGGGCACGGGGCGGGGTCTATAGGTGCGTAGGGCGTGGTTGATGGCAATGGGCGGGGCTTAGGAGCAAATGGGTATTCCAAGACTGGTGCTTTCTGCTCAGTGCCCTTTCTCTGGATACCAGGGCTGGAAGCTGCCCAAAGATGAACAAAAAGGGATTTTGTCCTCCTGGCTGTCCCTTAGCGGAGGAGTGTCAGGTGTATGGGGTCCCCGTAACCAAAAGGGGATCCAAGAGCTGTTGTCAGACCCTCACTGCAGTACTTAATTAGGGACATGGGTCTAGGGCTTCCGTACACGCTGCCTCGCAAGCCATTGGCACCCTGAAGACTTGTGGAGGATGTGACACTAACGTGTCTCCCAGTTCAGTCCCAAGTCATCATCTCTCCGTCTGGCAGTTATCGGACGCTGGTCGTGGTGGTGGGAGCCATGGAGGGGAGCGTTCCGTTCTGGCAGGGTGTGTCATGGAGCCCAGGCTCTTTCCACTCTCTAGGGAGCTGTTGTGTTCCCCCTAAAATGCATTCTCCTAACTGATACTGTCCAGTGGGACTCACGGACCCTTCCGTTCCTCCCAGTGCCTGTAAATGGCATGACTAGTATATAATCTGGCAATCAAACTGGGGCGGCTTGGCAGTGAGCTCCAGTTTTGCAAGGGTTCGGCTTTATTAATCTGGCATTGCACAAACTGATTTGGTATCCTGTGTTGTGATTGTGGGGTGACTTTCTCCCAGAAGAAAGTCACCTTCTGAGGGCCACTGAGGAGCCCCTCCTTTTATGGTACCCCTGCCCCTGGTTTTCCTAAAACATTATCTAGCCTGGTCTCAGCTCCAAGGCAGAAACACAAATACTTTAGTCAAGGACTAAAATACTGTGATGAATTCTACCATCTGTAGAATAAATAAGACTTTCATTTAATAGCACTTGCAGATATCTCAAAACCTTTCAACCAGAGCATGATCACATGAATTGGAGGCCAAAACAAGGACATCAGGATATTGTACTTTTCGTTACTTTTTAAAATATGTATTTTACACCTCGGATGTGACTGAGCTGAGGCATGCAGCCAGGAGATTCTGCAGGATCTGTGGCCCGGAGCATCTGAGTGGGGAACTCTTCAAGTCTGTGATTAAAAGGCCTCCAGTAAAACTACATTGCAAAAAATGGGAAAGGAACAATATAGAAAGAGCAAAACAGGACCGGGCGGTGGTGGCGCACGCCTTTAATTCCAGCACTCGGGAGGCAGAGGCAGGTGGATCTCTGTGAGTTCAAGGCCAGCCTGGGCTACCAAGTGAGTTCCAGGAAAGGTGCAAAGCTACACAGAGAAACCCTGTCTCGAAAAACCAAAAAAGAAAAAAAGAAAGAAAGAAAAAAAAAAGAGCAAAACAGTTGAAGAGGCAGAGCCTGAAGAATTTGTGGTAGGAAAAGTACTGTAGAAAAAATGCTGGGCCGCCATGTAGTGAATGGGAAGGCAGAGTATTTCAAGTGGAAGAGGTTCACAGATGCTGAGAACACTTGGGAGCCAGAAGAACTTTTAGATTGTCCAGAATTAATTGAAGCATTTCTTAGTTCTCCAAAAGCTGGTAAAGCAAAAGATGGTACAGAAAGGAAATCTTCATCTGACAGTGAATCGGATGATAGCAATCGAGGAAGAAAGAGCTGCTGCTGACAGACCCAGGGGCTTTGCCAAGGGTTCTGATCCTGAACGAAAAATCGGTGCCACAGCCAGCAGTGGAGAATTAATGCTTCTCAGGAAATGGAAGGACTTAGGCACACTTGATGCTGGCAAAGGAGGCGAATGTGACATGAAATGTCCTCAGATTGTCATTGCCTTTATAAGGAGAAACTGATGTGGCTTTCTTGTTCAGAAGATAAGGCACAATAATTGTTTGCATGTGTGTGTGTGTACATATATAAAATCTGGATCTTGGGTTTTGAATTACTAGTGTGGAAAAATATCATTCTAATGAAAATTGAGCTTGATATGCTCGTTTTGAAAGTATTGACAGTAGTTGGGATATTTGGGGGTTTTGTTCTACATCAATTGATTCCTTTGAGCAAATAAAAGCTTCCTTTAAAAAATAAAATAAAATATGTATTTTGTATGTGAGGGGCGGGGCGCACACATGTGGGTATAGGTCAGAGGACACCCTGTTAAGAGTCTCTTCTCCTTTTCTACCATGTGGCTCTTAGGGAATGAATTCAGGTCTTTAGGACTGAATTTTGGTCATTAGGCTTGGTGGCAGGTGCTTTTACACTTGGAGCTATCTTGCTGTCCAGATAGTTATTGTGGTGTTCATTTTAATTTGTTTATTTTAATTTTAAAAATGGGTGTTTATATTCCTAAGGATGCCAGAGAAAGGTGTTCAATGCCCTGCAAGTGGAGTTACAGATGGCCATGAACCATATAGTTTGTTCTGGGAAGAACAACCACTGCCCTTCACTGCTGAGCCATCTCTCCAGTCCCAGGATGTTGTATTTTTAGATTAGTCAAGATTAAAGGTGATGTCCTCTTTTTTTAATAGTTTATTTATTTTTATTATTTTATGTGTGTTGTTGTTTTGCTTGCATGTATATCTGTATGAAGGTATTAGATCTCGGAGTTACAGACAGTTGAGAGCTGCTGTGTGGGTACTGGGATTTGAACCTGGGTCCTCTGGAAGAACAGTCAGTGCTCATTAACCACTGAGACATCTCTCCAGCCCTGTGATGTCTTCTTTTTATTTTGAGACAGGGTCTCCATATTATGTAGCACTGGCTATCCTAGAACTCCTCTGTAGACCAGGCTGGCCTTGAACTCACAGAGATCCACCTGCCTGTACCTCCTGAGCACTGGGATTAAAGATGTGCACCACCACACTCCCCCCCACCCCCATCCTCTTTTAAAGCACACTGCAAGTAGCAGTTGTCTTGTGCCAACTTTCCATCCCCCACTAAGCCACCTGGACAGGCTCAACAGCCTGACATCCCTCTGGAATTTCTGTACCCAGGGTTCCTTTCTGTGTCTCCACCTCACTATGCAGTAAGCAATCAGTACTAAGGAGGTGGGGGCTGTGGAGATAGTGAATCAAGAGAAAAAACAGACCTGATATTTCTGCAGTTACACCTCCAGCCCTAAGAGATTCTGTTTTATAATTCTTGTGGTTTCTCTTGGGGTTTCAAGTAGTCCATGAGGGTAATGATACTTGGTGGGTTTGAAGTAAATGTCAGGGGAGACAGGGGGGCAAGGCTAAATAAGTAGATAAATCTGTGTCTAATGAGAACACATTGTATAAAAACCTGCTAACAGATGGCTGCTGTAGAGCTGATAAAATGACTTACAGCTAGGCATCCTTGAGATCTGATTACAGACGTGAGGCTGGTTCTCCACGCCTAGATTTTATTTAAGGACCACACCGGGGCCTTCCCAGTCTTTAGAAAGACTGGCATGGGGAGATGCGTTCCCTCTTAGTTCTCCCAAGCCATGGCACTTCCCAGCAAATTCCTGTTTGGATTTTGCTGTTTTGCCTGGCTGTGTTTTCTTCCTAGCCTCAGCTCTCAGGCTTCTAGGGGAGAAGCCCAGACTGGAGCCAGTGCAGCTTTGGAGTCGGAGGCAGATCCTTGGTCCTTGCTGTTGCCTGGAGATGGGACCGACAGGGCAGACCTCTTGCCTCCCCTCTTTAAGGTCCTGTCTGATAGGCGAGGTGAGGCCCCTAAGCTGCAGCCCGACTCCAGAGCACTCTACTACATGAAAAAGCTCTATAAGACGTATGCTACCAAAGAAGGGGTTCCTAAACCCAGCAGAAGTCACCTCTACAACACTGTGCGGCTCTTCAGCCCCTGTGCCAACCACAAGCAGGCTCCTGGCAACCAGGTGACAGGTGGGTGAGAGAAGATTGGTCAACTGGGTGGAGAGAGGAGAGGGGAGCGTCAATGTTTCTGTTACTAAAAGGAGCCAGGCTTTGATTTGGGTTTGTTTTGAGGCAAGATCCTACCCTGTCACCCTGTCTATACTCAAACTCTGCATCCTCCTGCCTCAGCCCCTTGAGTACTAGGATCACGCAGGTTTACATCATCATGAGAATTTTATTTTGCATAATTCTCAGTATGCAACTGAAACAAATTTAGCGCTTAATTTTTTTTTGAGACAAGGTTTCTCTATGTAACAGCGCTAGCTGTCTTAAGAGAGAGAGGAAGGAGAGAGAGAGGAGGGAGCAAGAGAAAAAGGAAGAGAGAGAAACAGAAGGAAAAAAAGAAAGTTCAAACAAAACAAAATCTATCATACTAATTTCTTTTTTCTTTTTTTCAGTTTTTTCAATACAGGGTTTCTCTATGTAGCCTTGTCTATTCTGGAACTCGATCTGTAGACCAGGCTGGCCTCAAACTCAGAGATGTGCCTACCTCTGCCTTCCTAGTGCTGGGACTAAAGGCATATGCCACCACCGCCTAGCTTCAATTTTTTCCTAAGTTCTTGAATTCTTTTTTGGTGTGGTGGTGCTAAGGATCAAATAGGGTTGGGGGACTCACATATGCTAGCTAAGCCCTCTGCTACTACATCCCTGGCCAGGAGCATTGATGTGTGTGTGTGTGTGTGTGTGTGTGTGTGTGTGTGTGTGTGTGTGTGTGTGTTGTTGTTGTTGTTGTTGTTGGCCTAAGCCATCATTAGTTAAGAAAATAGTGTGGTTGGGTGGTGGTGGCACACTTT